GTGCAAAAGTGTTTTAGAATGCATCCCTAGTTTTTTGGCTGATGCTCCTTTTCCATGAAGTATTGAAGACCTCTTGTGTGTTAGATGAGTAAATACAGAAGACCCATAAATGAGCACCATGCTTGGCTGAGAGTAGCAACACTGCTCTGACTGTTGTGTCAAGTTCCAGAACCTCTTGTATTTCTGTCCACACTCACTCCAAGGTGATCAGATCAAGTTTTACAGTGTTGGGTGCTTGCGTTCAAGTGACCGTTAGTTTATGCAACATTGACCCCTTCCCCACCTCAAGTGCAAGAGAGGGCATGCCAAGTATCATGACATGAAACATGAGGAGCCTACTGACTGGTACTGCGTGTCTGTGCCATAGTGCATGGAGGGCTGAGTACTGCCTGTAGTTTTTAGGCATCCACTGGGGTCATGGAAGGTGTCCCCTACAGAGGAGAGGGGACTGACAGTACCACCAACTGGGTAGCTTTAGTCACTAGGAATTTACTCTTTGTTCTTAGGACCAGCAGCCCCAAGCTCAGCTGTTGACAGCGTGTCACCTGTTCTTTGCCTCTGGCTGTCCCTGCTGGCTGGCAGCATTCTTGGACTTCTCTCCTACCTCTGCCAGTACGTTGCCTCATTCTCCTGTCCTGCTCTGTCTCAAGTCTCCCTTAGTCTGACTCTTACAAGGGACACTTGTTACTGCACTTAGAGTCCACTTAGACAGTGGATGGCTGAGCTTAAAGCAGATTCCTAACCTCATTCTATATGCAAAGATCCTTTCTCCAAGTAAGATCTGTGGTCTCAGATTCTAGGGACTAGAACATGGGATTATGGTTTGGGAGACCACCATTCACCCCCGACTACCCACAGGAAGAAGCTCAAATGTCTGTGCATCAGGTATAAAGCAAACCTGTGCCTGTTGGGGATTCAGGGAGGGGAGGGGTTTTAGGGTCCTGCCCAGGAACAGCTTCCCTTGTGTGGCCTCTGGGGAATCAGAGCCACTACTTGGGAACACCTATCCCTTCAAGGAACCCACTTTGAGAATCACGTTCTCAGAGAAAGGTGAGGTCTCTTAAGGCCCTTCAGGGGCAGGGTCCCACTTGGTCTGATGTAGGCAGTAACCAATGGCCACAGACAGCAAGTACTTAGGGAAAAATATCCTTTTAGTGCCCAACTTTGGATTTTATGTGGAAGTGTGACTCGGGTTAAATATAAAATTCATAGCATATCTTGAGCAACTATTTTGTCGTTATCTATATATAAATCTATTTTACAGCGACACAAATAGAATAGATTATGGAGTGTCAGCATGGAGATAGATTCCGAGTGCTTTTTCACTAATATACCTAATGATTCGTGCTGAGAATATCCAAGGGCTCCACTGTACATTTAAATGGATATAATTAAAATAATGAGCTCTATTTTAAAAAATGATATATGAAAAAAAATGTTAAGGAAGTTAGAAGGAGCTGCACCACTAATTCAAAGTGATATAAGTACTTCTGTGATTCCATTGTTATTAGGACGCCTAATTAAATGCAGAGCATTTGAGAAAAGCAACATTTGGGCTTGTAAGTCTAGAGTGCCAAAGTTGGAGTGGGTAGAGGGAGGAAGAGGAAGAAGTGGCCTATGTCCTTGGCACAGGGAGGCTTGGGGGTGTCACATTGAGGACATGGTGGGTAGGAGTGTGCCTGGGGGCAGGAGACCATGGCTCATGCGGCTCCTGCTTTCTGTGGCTAGGGCAGAAGTCTGGCTGGTCGCACAGCCACAGCTGTATCTGTAGGTGTGGCCTCTGGTTTGCGTGGGGTGGAAGGGGATGTAGGAGCAGCTGCCTTCCAGTGAGAAGCAGTCATTCCCTGCCCTCACCTCAACCCCCCAAGTGTAGCAGGTCCTCCATGTGACCTGAGCTGCTGCAAGCCCAGTGCCTTTGGAGCGGGGCCTCTGGCACCATGTTCTTAGGATGCCCCTGCCTGTTGCAGATGGATCACTGACCAACCTGCAGACATCCCAAGGCGTCACTCTGTCCCGCAGATCCTGGACAGTCACTGCAGGCTTAAGCAACCTTCCTGCTTGCCAGGAGGCAAGTGTTCTTTTGGTTATGCGGCAGACAGCCTTAAGGGAGCACCTGCTGTGCACCTGGATGCACAAGACTGCCAAGGATCCCACGTCAAAGAGCATATGCAGTTTTTGAGTCATAAATGGACAAGACATTTTCAGTTAGCTGGAACTCTAAAGGAAATGAAACAGAGTGGTAAGCTAGAAGCTAGAGTGAGAGGTAGAAAAGGTGACCTATAAACCCAGGTGAATTCACTAGCGTGCAGTGGGAGATCAGCTGGCAGAGTCACCCAGGTGAGGCCCATGCAGCCAGGAACAAAGCCAATGACTGCAACTCCAGCAATCAGGGAAGACATCCCATAGGTCAGGCTGTCACCAATGTCATCACAATGCCAAGTGCTGCCTTGCGACGCAACATGTGCCAGCTCCTGGCAGGGCCTTTTTACAGGTGTGCTTGCAGCAGGCAAGGGCCACAAGACCCTTTGAAGAGAGAGAGAGGGCAGTCTTTGCCTATGGTTGCATGGTGTGCAGTGTGCAGTGGACAAGGGAGAGGGAATGCCCAGCCTGGCTGACTCTGCAGCTCCTTCTCCCACCCTGAGAGCAGGAAGGGGCAGACTCTGAGTCGTTGTGGTTGGGCTGGTTGCATACACCCAAGACTTGGGCCAGTCTTAGAACTTCAGCAGTGAAGAAGGCTGGAGTGAAGGGGCAAGGGGTGGTCCTTGGCTGGGACCCATTCTGATCTCTGACTGGGGAGTCTCAGGCCAGGAAGCACCGGCTTACCATGACATCCACATAGTCCCAGTCAAGCGCACGAGAGAGAACTATGCATTTGCTCACTCCCCCAGTGGCAGCAACAGTTGGAACTGGGCTGGTCCAGAGCCAGGAGCCAGGAGCTGTTGTGGGTCTCCACATGAGTGCAGGGTCCCAAGCACTTGGATCATCTTTCCCAGGTGCATTAATAGAGAGCTGAATCAGAGGTGGAGCAGCCAGGTCACACACAAACCAGCACCCATATGGAATGCCTGCGCTGCAGGTCGAGGCTTACCCCACTTCACAGTGCCAGCCCATGGAAGTCACTGTTAACAGTGTACCCTTGGTAGTGTCGTGGTGTAGTGATTACAGGCCAGGCACTGTGTGAAGAGCTTTCCATGTCTAAGTTGACTAACCTGCAAGGTGAGCATGTTAACATTGGGGAAGTTGAGGCTCAGAAGTGAGGGGGCTGGCACAGGTCACACAGTTAGTTAGCTGGTGGCTGATGCCCTAAATGCCAGCACAATTGGGTTCTAGTGAAGGCATCACCCACGTGACATTGTTTGACCTTGGCTGTGGCAGGGTCCTGAGTACTGGGACCATCATCCAACTGACTTCTCAGGTTCATGAACAGGAAGCTGAAGCAGAAGTGGAGCAGCTGGGGCTCCAAATAACAGGCCAATGGGAGATGCCCACATTGCAGATAATGACTGGAACTGCCGCACCGTGATCCGTGGCCCCTCCGAATGACCCCCTCCCCACAGGAGGCCCAGTCACACATGTCCAGCTGCCTGTGACCCCCTCGGGGTGTTTTCTCACACAGAGCCACCTGCATGCTGTGGAAGGGTTGGCTGGCTCTGTGACTTCTCTAACGGGAAGCCTTGTGGATTATCACTTCCCTGTCTGTGAAATGGCAGCGGAGAAGAGCTTGGACGCGCTCTACAGCCCTCTTGCCAAGGAGCGAAGGGAGCAGCACTAGATACTTGGCTCCCGGTGGATCACTTCCACCCGTGTTGTTCAGGGTAGGATGGCAAACCCCTGGCATTGGCCTCACCTGGGGATTCACTGGAAATGCACATCTCGGGCCCCATCCCGTACTGGCTGACCCTGAATCTTTATTTTATCAAGATGCCAGCCCAGCCAGTTTGATTTCTTTTCAATTTATTTATTGGAAAGAACAGAATGACAGAGATCTTTCATTTGCTAGTTCACTCCCCAGTAGCCAGGGCTGGGAGAGAGTGAGGTCAAATGTCTAGAACAATTTCTGGATCTCTCACATGGGTGGCAGGGACCCAAGCACCTGGGCCGTCTTCTGTTGCCTTGTTAGGTGCATTAACAGGGAGCTGGATCAGAAGCAGAGCAGTTGGGGTCCAGCGTGGTAGCCTAGTGGCTAAAGTCCTTACCTTGAATGCACCAGGATCCCATACAGGTGCTGGTTCTAATCCCAGCGGCCCCAGTTCCCATCCTGCTCCCTGCCTGTGGCTTGGGAAAGTAGTCAAGGAACAACCCAAAGCCTTGGGACCCTGTACCCGCATGGGAGACCTAGAGGAAGCTCCTGGCTCCTGGCTTAAAATTGGCGCAGCTCTAACCATTGCAGTCACTTGGGGAGTGAATCTTCGGATAGAAGATCTTCCTCTCTGTCTCTCCTCTCTATATATCTGCCTTTATGATAAGAATGAATAAATCTTTAAAAAAAAAAAAACAGCAGAGTAGTAGGTGACTCCAACCCATCCTCTGATAGAGGAGACCGGAGTGACAAGCAGTGATTTATCCCACCGTGCCACCACACTGGCCCCTCCCCAGCCAGCCAGTTGGTTTGCACATGCAAGCTGGAGAAAAGCTGATTTTAACTAGCCAGAGGTTGCCTTTTTCAAAGGTTTCCAGTCCTTGTGATTGTGATGAGGACAAACAAGCAGCAGGTGAGGCAGCTGGATATTTGTGTACCTCTTTACACATCAGCTTCTCCCTCTGTGAAGGAAAAGGGGTTGGAACCATACCAGCCCAGTGGTTTGCAAACTGTGTCCTTGGGAATCCAGGGTTCCTTGCAGAAACAGGTCTTTCTTAGCGAGGGAAACTGAGCAAGTTGGCTTTGGGGCTGTTCCCTCTCCCTAGTCTCGTGTGTCTCTGGGGCCAGGAGCTGCTGGGCTTCATGGAGATCTAGGGGCAGGCATCAGGGTCCCATCTGAGCAGAGTCTCTTCTCCCCCAGGGAGCGCTTGAAGCGCAGCCAGAAGAGCAGCAAGGTGGAGGGCCCTGAGCCCGTGTCGGCTGAGACCTCATTCAGTTCCGAGCAGGGAACGATGACGGAAGTGAAGGTCAAGACAGAGCTGCCGGACGACTACATCCAGGAGGTGATCTGGCAGGGCGAGGCCAAGGAGGAGAAGGCAGCGGTCAGCAAGGACGGGACTGGCGACGTGCCTGCTGAGATCTGCGTGGTCATTGGTGGCGTCCGCAACCAGCAGACCTTGGGTGAGTGCCCATGCTCCATGGTTGGGGCCACAGGCCTGGGGAGAAGGGGCCTGGCAGAGGACCTTGAGAGCAGAGACCTCTAGGCGCACCTGAGACCTGCCTTTGCTTGTCTGATTCTCGTCTGGTGAGCCCTTCCCTTGTAGCAAAACCCCATCCATCAAAGCTTGTTGAAGGCAAATGTCTGGAACATTCCACAGGCTTAGGGCAGCCCTCATGCCTTGAGGGTCCTGTGGCAGACTTGGGCTGGCACAGTCTGGGCACTGGTGTCCTGAAAGCTTGTCTACCTTGCTTTTCTCCCTCTTCAGTTTGCCTGGGGTGGGGCAGGGTGGAGGGGAGGTCCTAGGGACAGCCCCCAGTGCGAGTCCTACTCAGAACAATTGGCTGGCCAAGATGCAATCAGTTACAACCCATGTCTTGCACTGGCTGTGGGCCAGGCCCAGGAGGACTCTGTGGACAGTGGTCTCCACCTGAACCCGGAACTCCCTGCAGGGGCTCCCCACACTGCAGTCAGGTTTGTGGACTCCAGTGCCTACAAGGCCAGCAGTTGTGTTTGTGGAGCATCTGTGGAGATGAGCTGAGGCACAGGTGGCAGAACACATCTGTAGTAGTAGCTCCTTGGGGCTGAGGGGATTCTAGGTGCCGTCTTGCCAGGCTCCCGCTTAGGCCAGATACTGGAAATGAAATTTTTTATGGGAATTCGTTTCGGAACTCCCTTGCCCCTATCTAGCCCAGGGCTCCCATTTTCATGTGCACCTTTCTCCTCGTTTCCCGTGCTCTATGTGTTCTAGAAGGGCAGCCACCTCCCTGCTTTCTGCTATTCCTCCTGGTCTTGGTCGGACTCACCTGCCCTTGGCTCATGAGCACCTCCCTCTTGCGAGCCCATGTGCCGTGTGCACCAGGCAGGGTTTATGGACGGCCAGGGGCTCCCTGTGTCTGTCCGCAGATTTGCAGTCAAGTCCCATTACCTTTGCTTTCTGGCTTCTGGGAGCCAGCCTGGTTTCCCTTCCTAGGTGAGTTAGAGCCAGCACCTACCCCACCTGAGTCCCAGCAGTCTCCTGTTGGCAGCTGTGTTTCAGCAGCTCTCTGCCTGCTGGCTCCTCCTACTGCCTAGTCTTGCTGCTCACCAACCAGCAATGGCCAAAACCAAACACCAACCAAACACCTGCTTCCTTGAAAGCTTTGAACTGCTGTCCAGGGTCAGCATCTGCCATCAAGCTCATAATGACCTGAGCCTATGTCTTTGTTCTGATCCTCCCAGACCCTTCACTCCAGTGCAATCTGCAATGCCTGCATTTTGCTTGTACCATTTCCTCTCCCAGGAGTGCCTTTTCCTGCATCTAGCCAGTAGCAGTGTCACCTCCTCCCAGAAGCTTTCCTGATTCTGTTTAGGTCTGAATGTCCCCTCACCTGGATACTCCACCACCACCCCCTCCCCCGCCCTGCCGCTTGTGTTGTGCTTGTGCCTCTGCCACATGATTGAGAGCCCTGGAGTCGCCTTATGTGTATCTTGCTCTCCACCAGGGAAAACGTGGTTGACATTGGCACTGTCAATGACTCTTGTCAGCCTAGGGCCGGGGGAACGCTACAGGACAGAGGATTCTGAAAGTCCCAAGAGACCTTGGCAGCTTCAGTCCAGAAGGGCTTATTTTTTTATATATACAACATGTCCACCGTGCATCAGCAGGGGTGGGGGCTGCACTCGCAGGTGACAGGTGGCTGTTAGATGACCGCTGCCAGCCACACAGCAGAAGTCAGGCAGGCTTGGGGCTGATGCAGACTGGTTACTGCCACTGCTGAAAGGAGGGCCCTGCTGTTCGCTCACAGTCACTGGGCATAAACGGCCACACTCACTCGGGGCAGAATGGGGAGAAGGGTTTGTGGTTGGTGAGAAGTATGCATGCCATGCCCCTGTTCTGTGTGGCACAAGGAGCTTTTCCAGAGCCCTGCACCTGTCTCCCAACCCTCACGTTGAATCCTGATGCAAAGACCAGCTGGCCGGGGCAGATGTGTGAGACAAAGGACTTGTCCTGCCTTTCCCTTTCCTGTGTGTTAAGACTCATTGTACCCAGGAGCACTCTTGCTCTTCACCAGGAGATGCCCTGAACCTGCCTGTTACGCTGAAGCCAATAGCCAGAAGTTTGGTAGGGAAGCCTGGAATAGCCAGGCCAGAGCATCTTGGTACAGCCTGTGTGCAGTGAAGGCCCCAGGCCCTCAAGCCTCATGCCAGCCACTGAAGCTGGATTGCAGTTTGACTGCTACTTGGCAGCAGGATTCTGGGCCAGGTTGTGTGGCTGAGTACCCTTTGACTCAAGGCAAGTCCCTGTCTTGGCCATCTATGCTACAGCAGGAGGGACCACATCCCAGAAGGCCAATGAACTTAACTTCCTGGCCAGGGAGTGAAACCAGTCTCTCTGATGTCACAGCTGTGCTACCTGAAGCCAATTACTGGCCCCTCTCTGGACCTCAGTGCCAATAGCATAAATTCCAAGGGTTATCTGGGTATTCAAGAAAATAGATATATGCAGAGCCTCTGACATTGTGCTCAGTAATTGAGAAGATGCTATTGGTAGTAGTACTAGTGTTTGTAGTATGAAATACGTAATCAAAGGCAGGGTATGGTCAGAGTTTTGGCTTTTTGCCCAATCTAATAAGCTGGTATGGTAGAGAGATGAGAAACAGCAGGGCTGACACCATGGCTCAATTGGCTAACCTTCTACCTGCAAGCACCTGCCTCCTATGTGGGTACCAGTTCCCATTCCAGCCCCCTGCTTGTTGTGGCCTGGGAAAGCAGTGGAGATAGCTCAAAGCCTTGAGACGCTGTACCCATTTGGGAGACCCAAGGGAGGCATCTGGTTTACTGCTTTGAATTGATTCAGCTCCAGCTGTTGTGGCCATCTGAGGAGTGAACCAGCAGATGGAAGATTTTTCTCTCTGTCTCTCCTCTTCTCTATAAATCTGCCTTTCAAATAAAAATACATATTGAAAGATTTCCCTGTATACCCTTGAGGGAAAGAGTATAGAAGCCCTGGTGACACAGGGAGCTGCTGCTTTGGACTGAATACCCAAGTAGGACCAGCACATACCCTGCTGGTTAGAAGGGGTTACCCAGGCGTGAGCCCCTAGTTTCCCGTTTTAGTTTCTGCCTCAGGGTCAGGCTCAGAGGAATTTGGTCTGGCCTCAGTGTCGGAAAGCAAAGACGTGAGCAAATGAGTATGAATATGGAAACTTTGGAACCCACCTCATGTCCAAGTGGCAAGCGGATTGTCTGTTGTAGGCCAGGCCCAGGAAGTTGCCACTGGGTGGTGAGAGTTCCATGTGCAGGATTCTCAAGGTGGTATGATTGATTAGTGATGTCTGTCTATAGCAGAAGTAGCAATAGGGTGACATACGATGTCAGTTTGACAGCCCCCAACTGCGTGAACTTATAGAAGACTGGTACCCAGAGCCACACGGCGCTCAGTGAGAGACGGTTGCTTCCACACCTGCAGGGCCCCCTCTACCTGCCAACATCTGCTGCACACTGCTTTCTGAAGACAGAGCAGGGAAGATGGGGCCCCTGCTGGTGTGGGATCATGTGCCTTCTTTAACCATCCTCTGCCCAGGTTGTAACCCAGCCTGGGGAAATCGATGTATCCCTAGGGCACATGGCCGGGGACTCACAGATGTCCGTGCATTCTTCAGAATAACCACACATCCGTCAAAGCAGGTGTGGGACTGTGGGAAAGACCCTGAGCTGCTTCTTGAGCAAGAAAAGCAGAGAGAATACCAAACCTGCTGGCTCAGTTGGGTAAAAACTAAAGAGAAGGGAAGCAAAAGCTGCCCATGCCTGTAGATAACATCAGCAGTTCTTTGCAGCATCCCCAAGGGAGAGGCCGATCCACACCCTCACTCTTTGGAGCTTGTCCTAACAGCAGTACCCTGTCAATGCTATGCTACAAACATAATCAACGTGGCTAGCTGATCGCTCCACACTGTCTCAGCAATACACCTCAGAATCCTTGTCAACACAGAATGCAAATATTAGAATTGGAAGTAGAAATCTCTGTACCTACTTTGTCCTAGATGAAGACAAGGCAAGCTGGACCACTTCTTGGTTCTGAGATGTGAGGACAACCATGAACCCAACCAATGGGAGACAATTGCTCCTTCATCTCACAGAGACAACAGGTGCAAGAACCCAGGGAGAGCCATGGGTGTGTGTAGACTTGCAAGGTACTGGGCTTCCTGGGTACTGTGTAGGAGTCCATGGGGTGGGGGAAAGCCAGTGGCCCAGCCTCAGCTGGATTCTTTTTCAGACAAGGGACTTGGGGCAGCCACACTGTTTGCCAGGATGTAGCTCAGTGTGGAGAGGAACACATGGAAGAGCTAAGGGCTCTTAGTGCAGGGCAGAAAGAGACTAGGAGTGGTGACGGAGGCTAGATATTCTCTTCTTGGAGCATTGTGCCGAGGAAGACCAAGCCCATGTATTATAGGTAGCCCCAGCCCAGAAGGATAAGTCACCAGGAGGTGATTTCAGCTCAGCAGAAGGTCAGACTTTGTGATTGTGGGAGCTAAATGGCGGCTGGAGCAAGGATGAGCAAAGCAGTCCCCTGACCTGGGAGGCAAGGATCGTGTGGGAGAAAGGATTCTACATGAGTGTTTCTGGACCATGTGCTTTGAGCTTTTACCCCAGGGTGAGGAAGAAGGAAAGGATGAGAGGACTGTACCTGGGAGATGGTGGCTGGGCCATGACTCTGGCAGGAGCAGCAGAGGAGTGAGCCAGCCATTCAGAGCCACGTGGGCTTTGGCCTGTGACAAACCTGGGCAGCACAGATGCCAGGTCCTGCTCCATAGTGCCAGCTGATAGCAAATTTCCTGTTTTGATCAGTTATTGGCAGGGCTGTGAGCGGGAGCCTGCCAGAACCAGTGCCGCTCTGTGCTGCAGCCAGTTGGAAAGAAGGGCTTCTGGCACATTCCACCTCTGCTCCTGACTTTATTGGGTGATGTGCCAGGGGAACAGGTCCTGGCTGAAGGGTTCCCTCTAGAAGGGACCTGGGGCTGAATGTCAGGAGACCTAAGGCTGAGCCTGCTGGGGAACCTTGAATAGGCTGTGGGACTGCCCCCCCACAACTGGGCCACGCAGTGTCTTGAGTGTTCAGTAGGAACATTACCATGTGTCCATTACAGAGCTGCCCAGTACATGCATGCATGGTAGCATTTCGGGGGACAGAAGGAAGTGTCAGTCTGAGTGGTTTTAAACAGGGGACAAACATGCAAAATGGACACCACTGATCTTAGCTGAAACCTCGGGATATTGGTAACTGTGGGGCTTCCAGTGGATTGAGGGAGCCCCAAGGGCAAGGATTTGTAACATTTTGTTGTTTTATTCCATACCTCTGTAATTTGGGGTTTTGTTACTATAATGAGCTGCACGAAATTGAATGACTTTATTTTAAAAAGAAGTTATGTTGATTCTTGTTTCTGAGAGTCCAAGGGGGACGGGCTTCTTGTTGGCAGAGTCCTAGGATGGCACAAGGCACAGACTAGGGGTGGGGCCATACAAGGCCTGCCAAGGCAACCACGGGCAAGACTGGACATTCAGTAAGCCTACAGCAGGCTGGATTTTAGGCTGATCATTTTGTCTGGCCCACGAATAATGTTATAAATATCCAAATGGCCCTTGGCAGAAAAAAAGGTTCCCCTGATGGCCGTCACACAGTGGGGGCCACAATGTCCACATGTGTGTGTCCCCTGTTGCCTCTCCTATAGCCACCAATGTTCGGTCCTGGAGGCTGTGTGCCCACCAGCTTAAATCAACCCTAATCTTTTGACAGAGGTCACACCACAGTCCCCGAGCTTCCTCCCTGTGGGCACAAGGGCCGTGCAACTCTCAACACAAACTGTAGCAGCCTCCAGGAAGCAGGCTTTTGGAAAGCAGTCTAATCCTCTTCCACATTTTTGTGTTGACATCGAACATTTTTATCTGAAGTTTAACTAATTGCGAAGCATATCATTTCCGGAATACCATATTTTTAAAAAAGAAAGTGACATTTTGGAAGTAAAGCTGTGAGCCCCTCTCAGGCATCTCCAAGGAAGTGCAGACACCACTGCGAGTTGAGGTCTGCTGTCATCGCTTGGAAAGCGTGTGTTGGGGCTGCTGCTGTGGTATGTCAGGCTAAGCCTCAACCTGCGGTGCCAGGGTCTCACATGGGCGCAGATTCAAGTCCCGGTGGCTCCATTACCACCAGCCTAGGAAAGGGATGGAGGATGGCACAAGTCCTTGGGCCCCTACACCCATGTGGGAGACCTAAAAAATGCTCTGGGCTCTTGATTTCAGATAACCCAGCTCTGGCTATTATGACCTTTCGGAGAGTAAACCAGTGGATAGATCTCTCTCTTTCTGTGTCTCCTTCTCTCTCTGTAGTTCTGCCTTTCAAATAAAAACAAGTAAACCTTTAAAAAAGAGAGAGAGGGGGAAAAAAAGAACGTATGCAGAGACTCCTCTTTAACAGACAGAAATTTCACATCTTCCCTTTTTCTCTTTGAACTCTTATTTCCACTCCACTTCCCCCACTGGGTTTTATCCTAATGTAAAAATTTTTTTATGCTCGAAAGTCTTTTATTGATCACTGTTTGACACACATCTGCTGCAACAAGATGTACATAAATTGAAATGGGAATTTCTGAAAAAAATAAATGGTATCCAGGATCCTAAAGTGCTAGTTCTCTTTTAAGACCTTTTTATCCAGATTGAGTTGTTATTAGCACACAGTTGGTCACAAGTGAATGTCGGTGAATAGTCGCCGTTAAGAGCCAAATGCAAGACTAAAATCGAGTCTCTTAATGAAGTGGCTTGGCTTGTTCTCTCCATCAGCCTCTGATTGCCGGGATGAGACAGGGTTCAGCACTGTGTCATTCTCGGTTTGGGGGTTTTGATTCTCTTTTGATTTTAGCTTTTGCTTTGTGTGGGTGGCATTTTTTGTTTTAATGTTTTTTGTGGGGTCTTTTTGTTTGTTTGTTTGGGTTTTTTTTTTTTTTTTTGGTGAGTAAGTGCTTGGGATACTTTGTCACATCAATGAGGAGCTAGAGAGGGGTAGTTTTCTTCCAACGATATAGTTCAGTTTTTTGAACTGTTTCCAGCTTGTGTGCCAAGATTCACACAGGGGTCTATCATCAGACAGTATTTTAATGGTCTCTTGGCTGACAACTGCATTGAGTCTATTTTTTTTTTTTTTGAGGGCAAAGAACTAGCAATCACCATATTGAGGGAAAAGAAAAAAGAGTTGTTGTCACTCCCCTTGGAAGCCTGACATTGACATTTCAGAATATCTCTTGCTGGGAGTCCTGGTGTCTGTCCACTCCCAGCCTAGGGGAGTCACTGATGTAGCATGAGGAGTGGGTTGAAGGACTTGGGAGGGTGAAGGTGAGCGTGGGAGAACCAGCAGCACCAGGGCCTCCTGCTTGCCCTCTTGTCCGGCTTGTTGAACTGGGGAAAGAATACATTGGAAATTGGTGTCTGGGGGATGGAGTCTCCTCAAACAGCTCCTGCTCACACTCGCCTTCGAGAGTGTCCAGGGGGAGACCCAGACCATTTGTGCCACACTCAGAGACCCTGATCCCGAGGACATTGACCCTGAAACCCTGCTCCAGAGGCTTCAGGAAATCCACCATCCCCTGCCTTTCTTCCTTCTCCAAGTGCCCTGTCCTCTGCCAGATCCCCGTAATCAGCTCTCTGGTCTTCCGCCTGGGACTTGGGTCTTCCTGTAGCACATGTTCTGTGAGTGGTGGCTCCCAGGAAGGCCTGTTTTAAGGACAACTCCCCCCACCCCTCTCCCCATCCTTGTCCCTACCCTGGCATTTCCCTGCTGTCACTCGCCTCTTTGGATTCCTGTCTTGCTTGAATGTTGTGTGCCCCGAGAGGTGTTTGAGCATCTTGACTAGCCCAGTATAGGCACAGAGAGAGGAAGGCTGCTGTCCCAGCTGCTGCACGTCCCTCACCCTCGAGACCCTGCCTTCCTCCCAGGTCCTCTGTGCTCATGGCCTGCCCTGCTGTGTCTGCCAGTCCCGGGGAGGAAGCCAAGCCAAGATCTCCGCACCTGCTAATGGAATGGGCTAGACAAACATTGTGAACACCTGTGTGTCAGAGCAGGTTCTGTGGATTTTCTGCTGCATCACCGGTGATAAGCCATCCCTGGCTGCCATCCCAGGCCTCTGAGAAAGGCACTCTTGGGAGTCCTGGGGAGGGTCCAGATGTGGTGGGAGCCCTTGTGCCTCTCAGAGGAGCTCCAGGACAGGAAGGGCACATCGTTCACCTGGCATCTAACAGTGGCTGTGATAACAGCTAGGTGGTGCTGGAGCCCCAAGGGTCAGCTTAGAGCACAGTCTCTGCCCAGCTGTGAATCAACCCTGGCCTCTAGAAAAAACTTCCTGCTTGCCTTTGATCTGGCCGGCAGGGGTGGGGAGGGGGGTTGGACATGTGGTCCGGGTGTCCTAGGTCATTTTCAGTGTTCATGAGTACTGTCTCTTTGTGGAGCTTTTTGAGTGTCCAGTTGTGTGGAAGCTACACTAGGTACCCTCAAGCAAGATAGATCTAAGTAGGCTCCAGCCCTGTGTGTGTCTCCCTGCTGGTCCTTGCTTTCCTTGTCTGGAAAATGGGGATAATAATCCCATCACCAGCCTAAGTGAGGAGGAGGAGGCGCTGAATGGTTGTGGGAAGCCCTTGCATTCAGACTCTACCGCACACTAACCAGCTGGCTGCATGGACTGGGCAAGCCACGACACACACCTACCCCAGCCTTCCCCACATGTGCGTGGAAATCTGGCCAGCTGGGGCGGAAGTGTCACAGGAGACATGAGCTCCAGTGCCTGGCACCTTAGAGACAAGGGAGTGATGGTGATGGCTGTAGATCATGGCTGGAGGGACCGTGCAGACAGGCAAGTGTGCTGGCCAGGGAGGTAGAAACACAAGGTCAGAGACTGTCCCAGCTGAGAATCCCCAGGAAGGCCCTCCAATGCCCTGGTGTGCCAGCCTGGAGTCTGTGGTGGCACGCTGGCCACCCAGCACAAGTGGGACACAAGTGTTTTTGAGGCTGTGTGCTGGGAGGTTTAAGGAAAGAAAGTTGAGATAACAGCCAAGCATGTGGGGCCCTGTGGCCAGGACAGTACTGGAGTGGGGAGGCCTGAAGTGTTATCTTGCCCATCCTTCTCCATAAGCCCCTGGGGAACCCAAGGCCGAGGAGGAGGAGGTGACAAGCCAGCCCTCCTTGAAGCTCCTCCCCTGGCCACCCCTGCCCCTTCCCTACATGCCCAGACATTCTGCAACTTCAAGGGCTCTTTCTGATCTCTTACGTGATTCAGATGGAAAAGCACCTGAAGGCAGCCCCCACCGAGGATCTGTGCGAAGCCGGTATTCAGGGACCTGGATTTTTGACCAAGCATTGAGATATGCATCGGGTACGTGATGGCCAAGGGGCAGGGCCTGATGCAGGCCGACATGGTGGGAGGGGGTACAGCTGGACAGAGCCACTGGCTTCAGACCCCTTAGTGAGCAGGCCCTGCCAGCATCTCCCAGTGCCACCTGGGGCCACTCTGCCCAACACCCCATCCCTAGTGCAAGTGAACACACGCCATAAACCCCAAGGTACCAGATGGATGGTGAAGGCTTTAAAATCTACAAGTCTGGGACATCTCAACTCTTCTGACCTCACTTCCTGTGGGTCCCAAAGAGGCCCTGTATGACTGGGAGACCCTAGGTGGTGATTCCTGAGGCTACAGGACTTCTCAGTGCCTTCAGGGGCTCCTGTGTCCTGTGCCCACCCCGCATAGGGCTGTGCCTAGAGGTTGTCCTCACTTGCTCAGCCGCGGACCTCCCCTTCCTCCTCCTCCTGTGATGTGTTCCAGAAGTTGGGCTCTAAAGAAAGCGCTGGGAAAACACTGACAGTCATAGCAGCATTCTGTTCTGCACGGTATACTGTGACTTGACTGGCAACTCACTATACTAGGAGGCAGAGAGCTGAGTTTGAATCCATGGCTGGGACTTTCTGCAATGCCAGCACCTTGTGTGACCTGCCTGCTGCCTGTTACACAGCAGGGCCAGCATCACTTCTTGTTCACGGCAGAGGACTCAGTGCCTGAACTGTGGTGGAAGCTCCGTGAATTATGAATTAGTTAAGTGGGGGATTGGCAGAAAGCATGACAGAGTGGTTAGAGATGGCAGAAAGAGCCTGGGGTCAGGAGTACTTGGCGACAAGTGCATCCAACAGCAAAATGGCCATGCATATATTTGTGCCCTCAGTCTGTGCCAGTCACAGGGCTGAGCAGAGATAAATGAACATTCTGCACTTTGTCCTCTGTGTGTTCATGTTTTCCCATGGGTGCCAAGAGTAACTACCCATTGCTAAGCAACAGGCCCCCCACTTGTGTCAGAGTTACACTGTCCCTTGGAGTGGCACTGGCGAATGCCTCTCCTTGCCTCTGTCCATGCCAGCTGCTCACTTGTTGATCCTGAACTCAATCCTAAGATGTCTGAGCCCAGTCATGTTTGCAGGTGAGGAAATGGGCTTCCCTAGGTCCAGGTAAGGGGGGTGTAAGGGCTGAGCAGACTCCATAGGCAGTGCTGCAGTGGCTTCCCCTGGTGCCTTGAGTACAGCCCCAGGCAGTGGGTTTGCACCTGCAGCTGAGCCCGCAGCCAGGGGATGTCCTCCAATCACCGCCATGCACAGAGAGTCTGGCGCTGCTCAAACCTTGGAATCTTCATGTGATCCCTCTTATATCATCCCTGTTTTCCTAAAGAGATCCAGACGGTCAGGTAGTGGCAGATGTGTCTGCCCACCTTGGGTCTTCCCTCAGCTAGCTGTTCCCAAGCCTTCCTGCCAGATACCAGAGTCCCTGAGGATCTAGATTCCTAGGCACCGAGCCCAGCTGTTAAGGGGGCACTCAGCCTGGCCAGGATGGGGTGCCAGAGGCTCTGCTGTGTCCACGCTGTGGGTCCCAGGACTATGCATGAGCTCTGGCACACAGCAGAGGACCAGGCCTGTGCTGGGTCAAGCTGGGTCTGACACTGGGTCCTGCCATGGTCCTCTGTCCCCTGCTCTGCACCGGTAGGCTCCTGCTTTGCCTGGCAGGGGGCCCAAATCTGTGTTCACACCATGTTGGTGTGCATGTGTTTGAGGAAATACAACTCCTCAGCAGGTGTGGGGCATCCTGTGCTGGTCCAGCGTGTCTGCAAGGGGGCCAGGTGCTTCCTCAGGTGCTATCCAGCTGCCCTCTTGAGGTCGGTGCCTCTGGCCCCATTCTGCAGATAAGCAGACTGAAGTGTAGTGTGCCTAACGATGTAGCCAAGGCTATGCTGCTGGTAAGTGGCAGAGTGGGGATGCCCAATTTGAAGACTGTCTTTCATCCCTGTCCTGTCCTGGCCAGGAGGCGGGGTGGCAGCAGATCATCATGTGTTAAGGAATGCTGCCTTTTGATGGATGCAGTCTCTTCCTTCAGAGCACTTTAATGTTCTTATTTTCCCTCTCAAAGTATGAGGAGAGTTAGCTGAAGAAGGCTCCTTGTCCATCCTCCAGATTTGAAAACTGAGGCACAGAGATGGGGTGCCTGGGCCAGGATCACTTAGAGAGGCGGAGGCAGACCTGGATCACTAAGAAGCTAGCCTCACGTTAACCTGCCGAGTTCATGTTGACTCCAGGCACTCCTCCTCCTCACTCGGGGCTCTCCCTGCAGGGCCTGGCTGCCTGCCTGCTTGCTGGGGCCCTGTTTCTGGTGCAGGTGCAGGCTGACCGGGCCTTTGCGGTCCTGTCTTCCAGGGTCCTACGAGTGTGGAATCTGCGGCAAGAAGTATAAGTACTACAACTGTTTCCAGACCCACGTCCGGGCACACCGAGGTGAGGGGGGCCCCCGGGCCAGAGCTAACACTGGCCTGCCTTCTCTAATCTATACCCTTTCTGTGCCATTGGAGAGAGGCCTTGTACGTGGGGACAGGATGGGTGCGGAAGCCATGTTCCTCCCAGGAGGAGGCACTGGGAGGCACTGTTATCCTTTCTGTCTTCCTTGTGATGACTCATGAGTGGAGCCTGACCACTGCCAGTGCCACCGCTTCCCATCCCAGAGATGAGAAAGCCAAATACATGAGCAGGAAGACACCTGCTCCTCCGTGAGCCGGGTGGGCAGGGAGGAGAGGCACAGGGTCAGGGCCCCAGGACAAGGCTGCAAGATCGTGGCTCCCACAGCCTCCTGGCCCCCTCAACTCATGCCCTTTCTCTCTTACAGATACCGAAGCCACCTCAGGGGAGGGCGCCTCCCAAAGCAGTGAGTACCTGTCCCTCCTTGTGGGCTGGGGCGAGGCCAGGTGGGAGGAGAATGGGAGAGGCCCAGACAAGATCTGGATCACTATGAAGCTAGCACACATTCACCTGCCAAGTTCTTGTTCTCTCCAGGCATCTTCCTTCTCACTCCTAGTGCAGGGCTCTCCCTGAACACTGCTGTCCCTTTCGTCTCCCAGACAGCCCCGAGTGGCCCAGGAGAAACCCTCCCAGGCTCTTGACCTACACTATCCTTAGGCTGCATAAAGCAGCCCTTCCCAAGCTGGGTTCCACAGCATGCTGATCCAGGGAGGCTGGCAGGCATTCTGCCAGTCAGGGCTCTCTGATCGGGTAGCTTTGGGAACCCTTATGCTACACTCAGATGAGCAGGTGTTTGCCATGGGTATCTCAGCCAGAGACAGGACCCCAAAGTTTAGAGTTCTCGGCCATCTCTTGGCTCTCAGACTCACATATGGGTCTCAGGTTCCATGCCTGGCGTTTGAGAAATTATGCCTCAGAGCATTGATCCCCTCGGCACCCAAGCCACAGGCTGAACGGTGTGTGGCAGAGGGGAGGTTGCCCTGGGATACTCCTCAGGTGCCCAGGAGGCCTTGCCACCTGGGGCTTTGCTGCTCACAGGCTCACTGGCCTTCCCTTCAGTCCTCACCTCCATGGGCCTGGTAAGCTACCAGTCTGGGGGCTATGGAGTGTGGTGTGGTTTCTATCCAACAACACTAAGTCCCAGAAGCCAGCAGGTCTGCCCCAATACAAACTAGAATGTTCTTAGCGTGCTAGTGCTAGCAGCCTGCAAACCAGCAACCACCTGAGTGCCCGCTGGAACTGGTTGCCTGGATGAAAAGCACTTTTTCATGTGTAACTGCCATGCAGTCAGTAGAAGGAAGAGTATGTGCAGCTGCATACAGCCCCCCAGTACTGAGAACCAACCCAGCACTAAGCAGCATCAGCCACATGCAGGAGCATGTCTGCTAAGTGTTTGTGCAGAGCCAGGCTGACCCCAGGCAGCACTGCCTGGTGCTGGTGGCTGTCGGGAGACAGGCTGCCCTCGGGATGGGCTTCTGTGTTCTGCTTCTGCAGCTCGGCGCTGGGACCCAGGTGTTGGCTGTTTGTGAATGCCAAGGTTAGGGAGCATTTTCTGAAGAGGGCCAGACCATCCGGACCTGCTGTCTCCATCACCACCACCTCCAGGCTTCCCTTGGTTTAGGGGCACAACCAAGAGCATACATAAATTCATTCCCTAACAGAGAAGATGGTGGGCCGGAACTGGCCCATGCATGTAGTATGCCAGATCTCGGTCTGTGGGCTTGTTATGTTGCCATAGTTTTCTAAGATAATAAATCAATGTTATGCAAACCCCAGGCTAGTGTGGTGATACCGAGTTAAGCCACATCTTGCAACACAGGTATCCCATATCAGGGTGCCAGTTCAAGTCCTGGTTGCTCTGATTCCAATCCAGCTTCCTGCTAATGTGCCTGGGAAGGCACTGGAAGATGGCCTCAGTACTTGGGCCCGTGCCACCCACGTAGGAAACACAGATAGACTGGACTCCTAGCTTCCTTAAGGCCATTTAGGGAGTGAAGCTACAGATGGAAAAATCTCCGCTTCTCTCTCTTCCTCTCTTCCATTCCCCTCTACCTCTCTGTCATTCTGCCTTTCAAATAAACCTTTAAGATCTATACAAAACCTACTGGAGAGGCCACCAGAAGGGCCTTAGCTACATCAGATCTTTACAACACTTTCCCCAGACCACAAGGGAGGCAGGTCCTTGTTGCACAGGGTATCAGAGCCTCAGCTCAGCAGAACACATTCCCTAGGGCCCATGGCTGGGCCAGGAGGAGGTGGACCTGTGCCTGACTTGCCCCTACCTGACTCTAGACTCTTTTCTTCCCCCATAGCTACTTCTTTTTGGCTGCTGCAATCTGCCTGTGGTCAGCCACACAGCTCAAGAGCTTCCCTGTTTATCTCTTCCCTCCACACTCTCCTGGGCACCCAGACTCCCAGCATCCCTCACTGCTCTCTTGGCTTCTGCCATGCATCCACTCCATGTGGGCTCACTGCTGGCCAACCATATTCTTAGTCCTGCTCGTGCTCTTCCCTGCCTCCTCCCGGAGCTTCTGTCTCCTTCCTCACCCCTTTGCCAACCCCATGCGCTGGGCCCCCTGTGCTCTGTGCATCTCGACTCTGCCGCCTTCTGGCCCTGACCTGCAGTACCTGTGTGAAGCACCTGTCTTTACCTCCCCGCGGGGACCCAGCCTGGGACCCAGAAAGGTCCCACAGAGAGGATCGGCCACCCATTGTGCACATGAGAACACTGAGTCTCAGAGAAACTCACGCAACTTAAAAGTCATGAGACCTGGTCTTATTCTGACCGGCAGGTACCTTTCATTTGTTTGTTAGGAAAGTGATATTACAGAGACACAGCAACAGGCCTGGTCACTCCATCTCACATAAGAAAATAAAGAGTCAGCCCCACAGCACGTGTCTGGCTGCTGTCTTGTTGCTTTGTTGTAGAAAACAGCATTGGGTAGATTTGCCAAATATTTGTCAAAGGTTGGACATTGTACTCATCTATTCTGTTTTCTCTTATGTAACTCTAGGAGATGAAGGAACTGTGTTTATTCCCAACTTGCAGATGTAGAAACTGAGGTGGAGAGGTTAGAAAACATCCCTAAGGATTGTCCACTCACAAGTGGGAGAGTGGGGTTTGTGCTCAAGCAGCCAGATCGCAGCACCTGCCTTTGACAGTGGGTTTGCAGGACTGTTTCCAGAGACATTAGGCATTCTTAAGGAACATGGGTCCGTGGGCAGAAAAACCACTTTGCCCTCCTCCCCTGCCCCCAGTGGAGTATCTCCCACTCCCACCTTTGGAATTGGAAACATGGTCTCCAGCTACACTCAGAGGATGCCATGGTGTGGGATTCAACAGAACAGGGTAGCACTGTTTCATGGCCGAAAGCTGGGAGTTCACACTGTGTCAGAGGTGGTGAGGAGGAGGGACCAGGCAGGTACCCAGGCAGTTGCCTGTGGCAGCCAGCGCTGGGCAGAGCAGGAAGGAGGTTGAAGGGACAGAGCCCTGACTGGATCCAGACCCTCTCTGTGCCAAGATGTTGAGCAGTGCAGGAGGCATGGGCTATGACCTGAATGGGCCAGGATGGAGACACTATTGCCTAAGTCCCATTTCCAGCCACGGGAGAGGCTGGAAACCCAAGCCAGACTTGGAACCCTGGAACCATGAGCCTGGGAATGCCTGCAGGGTTCAGTCCCTCCATAGCCCTCTCCCCACTTTAAGGGGGAAAAATATCAAGACATGAGACCAGGCCTCTCCTGCCCCCTACCCCCACCAGCCCTGCCTTGTAGGAGTCTGGTCCCACCAGCCTTAGTGTGACCATAGGTGCGAGAGCTGCAGGTTCCTGGCTCAGGGCTCCTCTCTCTGTACCTGGGACATCTGGGGGCATATGGTTGGCAGGCATACCCTGGGTCACACATTGAGGGTCCATGCCAGTGCAGACATCAGGGGAAAAGTTGCTGACTTGTCCTATGTGACTCTAGCCTAGAGGTCCCCTAGACTCAGACCTGTATTGCCATGTAACAGTTGTCCCCCAAACTCAGTGACTAAGAGCAACAAGTGCTGACTGTCCCTGTCCTGTGGTCAGGTGTCTGGATGGGTCCCTGGCTCTGGGTGTTGGTGAGGGTTGTGTCTCACCGCAGGCTCATGCACATTGACAGAGTTCAGTCATGCAGAGCTGTGAGGCCTTGGGTCACAGCCCCTCCCCAGCTCTTCACTGAAGCTGCCATCAGTTGCTTGCCTGCTGTGGGGAGCAGCTGGCAACATGGTGGCCAGTGGCAGACAGCAAAGGAGAAACCGCCTTCCCTAGTCTGGCACTCAGATCATGTAGGGTGTAAACACCAACTGCGTGAGCCCTGTGTCTTAAGTTGGTCACATACCTCCTTTCCTGCAGGCTCCCGGACATGGTCAGAGAGACTCCTCCTGTCCTAAGGCCTGTGTACAACGAGGGGCTGCCCCTTTCTTGTGTTGTAGGAGTGAGGAATTGCAGGCGAAGACCTTTGCCTTGGCACACAGTCTCACCCAGCAGGAGGCAGCCACAGGGATTGTCACCCTTGCCGCATCACCTCAATGGAAAGTGGAGAGGACCTGATATGAATTAGGCCATCTGGGACTTGGACTGGGGAGGGGGGGTGTCCCTTCAAGGCTTGTTGGTCACTGTGTAGTTTGGGTCTCCCTCTAGGACCCCGCATACCTCCATCCAAGACCTAGGAACCCCAGGAGTAATAAGAGCTGGTTGAGAGTGAAAGCTGGGGCAGGCCTGAAGCTGGATCTGCCCCTCGCAGTGTGACTCACTCAGGGAGGAACAGCTGGGTCACTCCTGGAGTGCACTGGGCCCTAAGGACTCAGACCCTGGACTCGCTTGCCACAGCATCCCGCAGCTGGGACAAACGGGACTCATCCCATCCTTGATTCCAAAAGCCAGTGAGCTGGCCACAAAGCTCCTGTCCTGGGTGATGGAAGCCTCGGTAACCCTGTGTGTCCTCCCTCCCTCGCAGACAATTTCAGGTACACATGTGACATCTGCGGCAAGAAATACAAATATTACAGCTGTTTCCAAGAGCACCGAGACCTGCATGCAGTAGACGGTGAGTCAAGCCCCTCACTCCCTGAGTCATGCCCAGGATACCCTGGCTGGGTTCACTGGACCCCAGCCCATCCACCTGTCCCCTCCCACAGAACCTGGGGGAAGAGGGTAGCCCCGCCACTTCCATGTGTGCTTCTCTTTGAGTTTGCTGTTTATATGGGTCAAAGTATAAGGTCATATACCATGTCATTTAACAGTTTTAATAGAGCCTTTGCATGCCCTGGTAAAATTAGGTTAATTTTTTTAAAAATGAATGATGGTACTTTGAACATCTTAGGCTACAAAGTTGGAAATTAGAATAATTTTAGATATTTGTAGAGTCTTAGGTATTCTAGAAAGAGGGTCTTGGGCTCACAGAGGATCCTGGGGTCCCCACTGTATCTGACTTCTCACCCCAGCTCACTCCGAGCTGTGACAAGCAGGCCCACGCCTGTGGCCACTGCCCACCCTTCCTCTCACCTGCTCTTTCCCTCTCCTCCCAGCCTCTTTCTCTTTGTTCCTGTTCTGGCTTCTGCAGTGCATGCTGGGAGTGCCGAGTCAGGTCCGGGCAGGGAGCTTCTGCTTGCTCTGGGTTGTTCACTGCCCTTACTAAGGATGGAGCATTGAGGCCTCGGCTGCATCTCCTCCTGGGGCCCTCTGGTTTTCCATGGCTCCCTCACTGGCCTGAGCAGCCCCACTGGCAGAGACTGTGGTAGGCAGGGATTAACAGTCCTCCTATTTGCTTCTTTCCTTGTGCGGTCACCACCTCCCGCCTGGGCGCAGTGTTTAGTGTGGAAGGAGCCCCCGAGAGTCGGGCAGGTACGTCCTCAGCGGCTGCTCCCTCCCCTGCTCCTAGCTGGGCTCCTGAGTTCTAGGTGTCCAGGATGCTGAGTGCCATGTGTGTGTTCCCCTGCAGACCCCTTCGACCAGGGTGTTGTGGCCACAGACGAGGTGAAAGAAGAGCCCCCGGAACCATTCCAGAAAATCGGGCCAAGTATGCGGGACTCTCTGGGGCTGGGTGAGGACTGACTGATGGGGAGGCAAGGCCAAGTGTCCCTCCCTCCCCGCTGGGGAGGTGCGTGGCCTTGCTCAGCCTGCAGTAAGAGCGCCTACCTGCAAGCTGAGCCTGTCTGGCTGGAACTTAATATGTTTAGGAGCTGCAGGCAGCACAGGGTCAAAGTCAGGGCTATGAAAGACACCCACCTCTATGCCATCTGTGTGTCATGCTGTGCCCTCCAAGGCTGTCTGCCCATTTGGCCATCAACCTTTCCACCTGTAGAATGGGAGTGACACTCCCTGAGGAATTGTTGGAGGATTAAATGAGATCATGGCTGTGAGCCACTTCTTAGCAACAGTGCCTGGTACATAGTAGGTGCTTGGAAGGGGACTGCCATTACAATAACCAAAAGGACTTAGCAGCCAGGGAGCCCACCCAAGGCAGCTCCTGTAGGCCCTCTTTTCCTTGTCCCAGGATACCCCATGAGGGTGGGAGACACACAGTGACCTTCCTGCTTTGGCCATCTCATCGCAAGTGTTGTGGGGACAGGTGGTAAACAGGACAAACATGACTCTATCCTCGGTCAGTGACAACAGATAAGTAAGCAGAGTGTTAGTAGCACAGAAGTGCAGAGAGTTGGGGAGCTGGGCGAGAACCAAGGGAGTGCGCAGGGAATTAGCCCCTGCACCCCAAGAAAAGGCAGAAAAGTGGCACTAGTTCTGAGAATGGAAAAGTAGAGTTGGGACCTCAAGTGCCAGATGGCACCCTGGACTTTGGGAGTGAGCTGGAGAGGTGACCAGGTGGGAAAAGGAAGAGCAGGGTAGCTGCTGAGAGGAGTCTAGACTGGAGGCACCAGTGGCCACGCCAGGCGAGTACATAGGGACCACAGGTGAATGAGCCTTACCTTTTACAGCCCCACAGGATTTCATATACCTCTCTGTTCCCCAGTCCTCACTTGCTGGCCATCCAGGAGAGGGCCTTCTTGTCTCTCTTATTGCATGGAGCTAAGGCAGTTTGCAGAAATTCACAAGAAACAGCAACAAGCAGATGAGTGAAGGAAGGTCCGCAGAGCTGAGACATCCTTGGTGGTCCTCGATCAGGTGCTGGGAAGGGCCCATCGGGTCCCTGAGAAGGCTTTCCTGTCTTCCTGCACTGTCTGCCATGAGCAGATGCTTCTCTGCTTCCTTCTGAACTCTACTTGGAGTCATTCAGGACACTGAAGAGCAGAGTGTATGGAGAAGATGGTGGGCCCAGGGCTTGTCCCATAAACCTCCAATAAGTTCCAGCAGTGTTGGAATCAGCTTGAAGAGAAGGGAAGTTCAGCCCTCGACAGGAACACTGCTGTGAGTTAGGCCCTGCAGCTGTGGGTCAGACACATGTCTGGCATTCGATGGATTCATGGTGTGTGGGAGAGACAGGTCCAGGAAAGGGCTGGGGGACTGTGCTCACCCAGCCCTGGCCCCAGTCTACTGGCAACCCCAGCGAGGCCTTGCCCTCCTGACTGGGGCATTGTCATTTAAAAAATGGGCTTTGTTATCAGAGTGGCTTGGAGGTAAACACTGGTGTCCCTGTTTCACCAGCCATCCCTGTGTCCCTCTGGGTATTCTCTGTGTCTTCAGTGAGATGGGGCCGAGAACAATATGTAATCTCCAGGGCTCTTGGAGGACACATACACACAAAGGGTTGAGCCCAGCTCCCGAGTCACTTGGAGTATGATTGAGGGACTCCCTGAGAAGCAAGAGGTTTTTTGTTTTGTTTGTTTGTTTGTTTGTTTTTGATTCATTTAGTTTTTATTGGAAAGGCAGATATACAGAGAGAAGGAAAAACAGAGAGGAAGATCTTCCATCCGCTGATTCACTCCCCAAGCAGGCACAATGGCTAGAACTGAGCCAATTCGAAGCCAGCAGCCAGGAGCTTCTCCTGGGTCTCCCACGCAGGTGCAGGGTCCCGAAACTCTGGGCCATCCTCGACTGCTTTCCCAGACACAACCTAGATGGGAAGCAGGGCCGCTGGGATTAGAACCTGTACCCATATGGGCCCCTGGTGCCCAGGGTGAGGGCTTTAACCACTACGCTATCACACTGAGTCCTAGAGAAGCAAGAGTTTTAAGAAGATCTACCTTTATTTATTTGAAAGGCAGCGTTATAGAGAAAGACGGAGAGAGGACAGAGATCTTCAGTTTACTGGTTCACTTGCTGAATGGCCACAACGGCCAGAGAATGCTTGGCTAGGCCAAAGCTAGGAAGCCAAGAATTCCAGCCAGCTCTCCCAAATGGGTGGCAGGGGCCCAACCACTTGAACCCTTCACACCTGCTTTCCCAGGTGGATCGTAAGTGGAACATCCTGAACTCGAATTAGTGTTCACATGGGATGCCATCATCACAGGCAGTGGCTTAACCACTATGCCAGCACCAAGGGTAAGAGTTGTAGAGACAGCCCAAATGGGTCTCAGCTCTAGCACTTAGTAACTATGTAGTGTCCTACAAGATCTCGCCTCGATCTAATGTACAGTTTCTTTACCTCTAAAGTGGGTGGTGACAATACAGCTCACCTTGTTGAGATTGTCACAGGGTGGGGTGGGGACGGGGATGGGATCAGGAGGGAGGGAGGATAAGATGACATCATATATGTAAAGGGACTGGCAAAGTCCTTTCTACAGGGCCTGGCAAACATGGAATAAGTGATAACTGTTAATGACCAGGAAGACACAGAGCGAAGGGGCACTTGCTGTGTGCATGTTGTAATGAGCTCTGACAGCCAGACCATGCTGGGGCCCAAGAGTCACTCATAGATTAAGGAGTGTGGTGCTGCAGTGAGAAGGTTACATCAGGGCTGGCTGCCAGCAAGCTGCCAACTTGACCTGGCAGGGATGAAGGCCTTGGCAGTGCACGGCTGCCCCTTTGCAGCCCTCCGAACTGCCCTGAGTGGTCAGAGTGTTGCTCCTGGGCTCCTGTTGCTTGTAAGCAGCTGAAGTAGCCCCAGGTCAAGAAGTGCCAGGTCAAGCGCCATGGATGGCACAGGGTCTGGTTGTGCCATATCAGGCCCTGTAGAGAGCTGGCCATTTCTAGCTTACTGCGTAAGGAGCAGTTTCTTCCAAGAACTATGAGTATTCTGTATAACAAGAAAAAGAATGGAGGAAATTCGCAGGAAGAACATGTCTCTGATTACTGCGCAATCTGTAGGAATTGAATCTAAGAAAATGTAACTAGCCTTGGTCCACTCAGGAGCAGTAATGAAATACCACAAGCCATGGAGCTGATGCCATGATGTCTGGAGGCTGGCCGTCAAACTCAGTGTGGTCTGGGGGCTTGCGGTTGGCTACCTTCTCATGGGACTCTCTTAGCTCTCTTCTTAAAAGGGCCCTCCCCGAGAGGCCCGTGCCTGCTGTCGTCCCCTAAGAGTGCTGGTTGGAGTCCCTGCTTTTTCACTCTTTCCAGCTCCCTGCTGATGTGTGTGGGAAAGCAGCAGAAGATGGCCAAGTTCTTGGGTCCTTGTCCACCACCCAGGTGAAGCTCCTGGCTTTACCTTGGCCCATTGTGGCCATTTGGAAGAGCAAACCAGCAGATGGAAGATCTCTATCTCCCTCTCTCTCTAACTCTGCCTTTCCTTTCTTTTTTCCCCCTTTTTTTAGAAATCTAATGGACAATAGGGAGCCCATTGTAGGCCACTGAAATTGTAGTACCAATGGGACAGAAGCAGTATCCAAAGATCTACTTGATGAAAATGTGCTTTGCTACAATGAAGGGCTATTCTATTGCGGATTTAAAGGGCTCATCACATGTCAGCTACAGTCAGAATAGAAAGACCCTTAGCTAAATAGATCATAATGGCTTTGTAAAACTATAGACACCAAAGGAAAGGATCTAGATATTCAGACTTGGAAAGAAAAACAAGTTGGGCCCAGCGCAGTAGCCTAGCCACTAAAGTCTTCACCTCGCACATGTCAGAATTCCATATGGGCATTGGTTATAATCCCGGCAGCTCCACTTCCCATCCAGCTCCCTGCTTCTGTCCTGGGAAAGTAGTCAAGGACGGCCCAAAGCCTTGGGACCCTGCACCCGAGTGGGAGACCTGGAAGAGGTTCCTGGCTCCTGGTTTCTAATTGGCTCAGTTCCAACCATTGCGGTCACTTGGGGAGTGAATCAGCGAACGGAAGATCTTCCTCTCTATATATCTGACTTTTCAATAAAAATAAAAAATAAATCTGGGAAAAAAAAGCCCTACATGGTTATTCAGGGTATGCTTACCTCAGACCTTTGTAGTACTCAGTGTCAAGCAGATATATTTTGAGAGGGAAATATTTTAATCTGAGAACAAATTATAACTAATATGTAATACAGGAAAGGGCTCAAAAACATGTTCTTTCTCCCACATACCCATTTCCAAGTTACTTGAAAAGAGATACCAGTTGGGCCCGGCACAGAAGCCTAGTGGCTAAAGTCCTTGCCTTACATGAGCCAGGATCCCATTTGGGCACCAGTTTGTATCCTGGCATCCCTGCTTCTCATCCAGCTCTCTGCTTGTGGCCTGGGAAAGCAGCAGAGGACAGCCCAAAGCCTTGGGCTCTGTGCCTACATGAGAAAGATGTATTCATTTTTATTAGAAAGATCAGATTTATGGGGCTAAGAAGAAACAGAGAAAGATCTTCCATCCACTGGCTTACTCCCCAAATGGCCATCGTGACAGAAGCCAGGAGCCAGGAGTTTCTTCTGGGTCTCCCATGTGGGTGAGGGTCCCAAGGCTTTTTGGTCCATCCTCCACTGCTTTCCCAGGTAGTGGAGCAGCCAGGACATGAACCAGCACCCATATGGGATCCCAGTACTTGCTCTGGGGAGGATTAGCCAATTGAGCCACTGCACCAGGCCATTTTTTTGTGTTATTCATTTTTATTAGGAAAAAAAAAAAAGATTTACAGAGAGAAGAGAAAGATGGGAAAAGCGGGAGAATAGTCTTTACTGGAAGGCAGAAATCATCTAGAAATAGCCGATATTTTATGATTTATTCAAAGACACAAATCTTTTACTGAACTTACTCTGAACTCTTTCTCACAAACTCTTTCCTTAACTTGATTAAATCCCTGTCACTGGTTTTCCTGACATTGAGTGCTTCTCCTTGAGAGCACCTGTCCTGACGATGGCTTTAAACGTGTTGGTGTGATGATTTGATCTTCTTTCCTATGTCTGTGTGTGCAAAGCAGATCTGGCAAAAACGGTGACCTGGAAGGATTTCTCACAGGACTTGATTGTGCAGGAGCAAGTTCACACTGTTACGGGTCTTGGTTAATTATTACAGTTGATCAAACAGCTCCGAAACCTGCCAGCAGCAAACATTGTATGTACCCTTCTCAATGGGCATAAATCGGTTACAGAAATGATCGAACTCCCAATTCTAAAAGTTCCGCAGCCCACATCGGTACCTTGGTGGTCCTGTAAGACCGTGGTGTCAGGTGACACTGAGGCCGTTGTCAGTTTGTGTTAAGTACATAGGATGGTGTTTGAACCCTGACAAATTTGCCACCCAGTGCATTTCTTAGGAAGGAAGGAAGGAGGGAGGAAAGGAAGGAAGGAAGGAAGGAAGGAAGGAAGGAAGGAAGGAAGGAAGGAAGGAAGGAAGGAAGGAAGGAAGGAAGGAAGGAAGGAAGGAAGGAAGGAAGGAAGGAAGGAAGGAAGGAGGGAAGGAGGGAGGGAAGAAAGGAAGGAAGGAAGGAAGGAAGGAGGGAAAGAAGGAAGGAAGGAGGGAAGGAAGAAAGATAGAGAGAAAGAGAAAAAGAACTCGCGGGAGTGGGAAGTGGCAGCCCACGGTCACCATGCCCAGCAGTGGCCCGGGTCTGGGCGCTGTGCTGCTTGGCTGCGATGTATGCAGCAGACCTTTGTACGACTCACTGCGTTACCACCGTTCTCAGAAGCTTTCAAAATGTGTATGGTTTGCCCTTTGCCTGCCTCTCAGAATGTGTCCCAAAGAAGTGTGGTGTGAAGATTCAGTGTGATAATCTTTCTTTGGCAAAACTAATGAGCAGACATACAAAATTGTCTGCGGGGCTGTGTATCATGGCTTTTTTTTTTTTTAATTAGGAAAGAATGTGAAGAAGCCTGAATGTCCTTTGGTGGAGGGGACTGGCTCAGCAAGTTCCTAGTCTGGTGTGAACCATTGGAGCCAATCAGTGCAGGGATGTCCATATGTATTGATTGGGCAGGATGTCCACAAAGTCTTGTCAATTGGATACACCAGGTTACAAAGAGATGATTAATCAGGGCCAGCAGATTCAAGGCCACAGGAGGTTCTCATGGAGCAAAGCATGGCCTGGGATGGGGGTGAAGGTGGGCACTTGGGGAGACAGCAGGCTGCATGCTCTGCCCCAAGAGTATGGATACTGCTTTTTGGGGTTACAGATGACTGAATTTTTAATTTCAGATTTATATTTATCAGTGTTTTATAATTTCCCCCCAGATATCTTTAAGAAGAAAGAAGTTAGGCATTGCCTAAATAGAGGTAAAGATATGGTTTACTGGGACCTGAGAAGAGGAAGGGACCCCTTGCTGCCGATGAGTGGGGGCATCAATGGTCTTAGAGCTGTGTGCCTGTTGCAAAAAGACTGATGTGTAGTCTGACGCTGGAGGTCAACTGGGGTCACCTCACCTGTTTTCATTTCCCGAGCACCAGAGCTGAAGGGGGAGCTAGGGAAAAGACTAGCATGTGCCAGGTACTGTTCTAAGCACTTGCCATAGACATTTAATCCTCACTGCAATCCTGAAGATGGTCCTAAGTAGCATCTCCACTTGACCAATAGGCAAGCTAAGACGCAGCGGAGTTAAGTTACTAGCTTGAGCCTACACAGGTGGAAGCGGCAGAGCTGGGAGTTTTAACGAGGCAGCCTGACCTCAGAGTCAGAGTTAATTCTAGTTGGTGGTCCTAGAAGGAGCAGGAGGAGCTTGTTGTGGAGGGCAGGGAGGGGAGGCTAGACATACATAGATGCTTCTAGATGGAGACTGCTTGCCCCTTAACATCTTCCTTTCCTTCCGGAGCAGAAACTGGCAACTACACCTGTGAATTCTGTGGGAAGCAGTACAAGTACTACACACCCTACCAGGAGCATGTGGCCTTGCACGCCCCCATCAGTGAGTACTTTCTCTGGGGCTGGGGCAGAGCAGGCGCATAGAGGAGGGGGGAAGGGGCAAGGGGCAGGGTACAAGCCAACCGGGCAGGGCTCCAGAGCTTTGCTAGGGGGAAGATGGTTTGGGGTGAGTCTCTGGGTGTCTGGGACTAGCCTGAGACTACCTGGGAGAGTTTGGAAGGTCCCCTTTTGACTCAGTGGAATCAAGATCCTCCCTTAGGAGACTCAGAGGCCTGGGCCCATGCAATTTAGGATTAGCAAGGTAGGCATCCCTTGCCCAAGTTCTTCAGTGACCCTGTCCCTGCGTCCTCTAACCACCTTCTGATCTTACAGTCTAAGTAAGTTAGGGGCTAGCCCAGCTAGGAGTGGTTGGTGAGCACCACTGACTGTTTTTTGTCAGGTGGAAGTCCTAGGTATCAGTCCCCAGCAGGAGCATAGGCTTGCTGTGAGCTTGGGCAACCCTCTTTCCACAGCTGCCCACCATCTGTATTTGTGCCCTGGGGGAAGGGAGAGGGCACTGAGGGCCCTGCCCACGAGCACACCCTGGCCTTCTGCTATGCTGATGCTCAGGGTCTACCTGCTAATTCTCCTACTCATTGGAGGAGGTGGGGTAGGGGTAGGGGCCGGCCAGCACTCCACCTTTAAGTCCCAAGTGCAAGAGGCAGGGAGGCCCTCTTCCACCTCTCCTTGCCAAGGGGAGAAAGCTGAAGTCCCAGGGCAGAAAGGGTGGGAGGTGAAGGAGTCCATACAGGAGTCCAGCTGCTTTGGTTTCTCTTAGCAGAAATAAGGGGATCCTGCTCCCCATTCTGTGGATGGGAAGACCCAGGCAGGGCAAGGTTATACAAGGCTCTGAGAGGTGGAGGCACCTGTGGTCTGGGGTGGCCATCACCCTCTGGGTCATTGCTGGCAACCGCACAAGCAGATGTTTCCCCACACTTACTTGGGAGAAAAGGAGGTATGTCGAGGGCCTAGAGGGCGGTGCTGGAGGTTTTTCCAAGAAGCCCTGTCTGCTAGAGAGAGGGGCAGGGCTCTAACGGTCTCCCTATGGGGAAGCTGTTTAATCCTGACTGACAGCAAGCATTGGCCTGGGATTCTCATTCTGCTTTGACCCCTAATTGCTGTGGGGCCTTGTGTCTGCTTCTTGCAAGCTCTCCAAGTCATTCCAGCCCTAGAATCTTGAATACAGACGCGTGTGACATAAGGCACCCCTCAGGCAGGCAGCTGCTGGGATTTACAGGAAGCTCAGTGTGAAATTATTTCACTTCTCTGTCTTTTTGCAAGCTCTACGTGGTCTTATTTACTGAAACTTTATTACAGGTTTTACATACCTACTCTTAGTTTTTCAGTTGTGTTTTTTCAAAGAACACATTATTATTCTAGGAATTTTGTTTTTCTGTATAAATATTAGACTCTTCTTGCCAGTTTCTACTAAAAGAGTGAACAGAGATTTTACTTGAGGCTGCACTAAAACTACAGAGCAACTTGGAAAGAGTGTACATTGTAGTAATAGTGAATCTTTCAGTCCATGAACATGGTATGTCCAATTATTTGTGGTTCATTTAAGTTGCCCTCAGCAGTTGTGTCTTTCAGAATAGAGGTCTTGCACATATTTCATTGGAGTATCCATAAGTGTTTTGCTTTTTGATGTTATAGATTTTTAAATTTAATTTCCTAATTATTTATATATACATCAAAAATTTTGTGTATTGCATTTGGATCCTGCAAATTTACTTATTAGTTTTATTTGTTCTGTGCATTTAGGATACTTCTTTGCACATGATGATGCTATCTTCTAAAGTAGCTTTACTTTGTCTATATTCCTACTAATATTTTTCCTTTTGTAGTCCTGGTTAAGACCCTCTAGCATGAATGGAAGAAATCAATAGATATTTCTTTCTGTATTATTAACAATATGGTTCAATTCCTCAGCCTTAGCTCTCAGAATTTCCATAATTAAGGATTGTACTATCTGAATTAGGTTCATAGGCAGTCCTTATCAGCTGAAGAAGTTGCCTTCTGTTCCTGTCCACTGAGAACGTTTATTGTAATCTGGTGTCATGTGAATTTTTTCCCCTACATCTACAAAAGTGATTCTGAGGTTCTTAGACTTTATGCTGTTAGTTTGTGGATTGTAGGATTTATTTTGCAAAAGTTTTGGTGCCTACGCTTTACTAAAAATATTAAAATCAGGAAGTCAAACCATGAACTGAAGGAAGTTGCAATATTGATAAGTTTCCTCTTTGACAGAAGCAAGGCTTTTTTCTCTGTCCCTCACTTTGAGGGTACTTCCAAGAGTTCCTGGAGGAGGGGCCAGCATTGTGCCATAGGGAGTAAAGCCAACACCTGCAGTGCTGGCCTCCTTTATGGGCATCGGTTTATGTCCTGGCTGCTCCACTTCTGATCATGTCCCTGGTAATGATCTGAAAAAAGCAGCAGAAGGGTGGCCCAAGTGTTTAGGCCCCTGCCACCCATGTGGCAATCCTGGAGGACACTGTTGGCCATTTGTGTGTTTTACATGGGAAGTTGTCTGTGGTAAGATGTTTGTCCAGTTTTTCCTTTGGTTTAACTTGTAGACATTTTTTTGTATATTCCAAGAGATCTCCTTTATCAGACATATGTGTTGTGGGTATTCTCTCCTAATTTCTGGGTTCCTGGCCTTGCCCTGTTCATTGAGGCATCTGAGAAATGAGCCAGCAGGTGAAAGATTTCTCTTTCTCTCTCTCTCTCTCTCCTCTCCTTTTCCCTCCTTTCTTTCTATATCCCTTTCACATAAAGGAATAAAATTTTTTAAAGTGCTTGTAAACTTTGAATTAAAAGTTAGATTTATTTTGTAACAAAAAAAAGAAATCCATGCGAAGTTTTTTTCATAATATACTTTTTCCACAAGCTTTTTGAAGTACTTGTGTGTATTTAAGATGATGATTGGACATACCTATATATTGTGAAAGAACTGCCACAATCAAATTCTTGCTTAGGCATCTTAATTGCTTGAAAAGAGCTAGAGGAATTTATATAGTGAATTTGCTTTCAAGAGCACATTTCCTGCTCACTGGTATCTAAAATTCCCTGATACTTTACCTGCCTTTGGTCCCTTCTGGGACAGGGACCCCGGCCCTAGGGTCACATAGTGTCCACACTCAGCCAGTGGTGCATTGCTGACGGTCATCATCAAGAAAATAAGTATTTCTTCTAAAGATTTTAAAAATCCACATTGAGGTATATTGTCATGCAACAAAAAGTGCCCATTGTTGAAAGTGTACAGTTTCGTCAGTTTTGACCTGTTTTTGCACCTGTGGGACTAGCACCAGAATTAATGTCATGAAAAAGCATTTGTCCTACACTTTGGGATGCTGTGCCCACCACTTCCTGGTCCACAAGCACTGGTCTGCCTCCTGCTGCTATGGACTTAGTTTTAAGTCTGTCTTCTCTCACTCAGAATAGTGTTTTCAGTTTCATCCGTGCTTGCAGATATCAGTAGTTCATTCCTTTTCATTGGTGAATTCAGTCATGGTCACTTCATGGTGGGGATCTGTTCTGAGAAATCCATCACTGGGTGATTTAGTTTTCAAGCAAACATCAGAATGCACTTAGACAAAGATAACTACTGTGTCGCTAGGTAATTGGATCTTATGGGACTGTTGTTGCATGCACAGACGGTCATTGATCCAAACACTATACAGTGCATGACTCTAAGCAGTATTCCATTATCAGAAGAACATACAGTTCCTACATCTGTTCACATATGGGTGAACATTTGGGCGGTTCATAGTTCGGAATTAAAGCAGTTCAAGCTTCTGTGACATTTGTGTACAAGTCTTTATATAGATAAATGTTTTGATTTCTCTTGGGTAAATACCTGTTAGTGAAATGGCTGGGTCATTTAGTAGGTGTAGGACAACCAAACTGTTTGCCAAATTAGTTATGCCATTTTCCATTCCGACCAGCAGTTTTCTTATCATGCTGTTCTAGTCTGGGTGTCAGAGTGCTGCTGGCCTAGTAGAACGAATTGGGAAATACATGCCACCTTCTTCCGTTTCTTGAAGAGCTTGTGTACATGGGTTATCATTTTCCATAAATGTTCTGTAGAGCTCAACAGCGAAGGCACCAAGCTTGGAACGTTTTATTCCATTTCCAAACATTCCATTAGCCAGATTTTTTGGTTATTGATCTCTACATGATCTCATTACATGGTAGTTGGAGAACATATTCCCTACGATCCTTAATCATTGAGATGTGTATGTGGTTGCATGCTCTCTCGCTGCCTGTTTCACATCCACTTGATTTTAAAAAACAATAAATATCTAGGATCTTGGAGTGCTTAAGGTTAATTTGGTGAATAAGGGCAAACCTGTACAATATTTCTTCCTTTAAAAAAATGATTATGTTCTATCATATACTGAAAAAAAAAGTGTCAGTATCCTCAACTAATAATTGTGGATTCAGCTGTTGGTCTGTTAAAAAATTTTTTTGTTAATTCAGTTTTAGACTCTCGTTACACTTAGACTCATTTTAATGTGCTCAATTGACCCCTTTTTAAATTGTACAATGTTTTTGTAATTTCTGGCAACACTTGTTACTTTATTTGATTTTGTAGCCACTACAGATTTCTCAGGAATAGTGTTTTCAAGCAAACATCAGAATATACTTACACAAACTAAGATAACTACTTTTTTTCATCTTTTTCTTAATCTTTCAGAATCTTTGTATTGGAAGTATGTATGTGTAATTGGTTCTTGGGGCTGTATGTACCTGGCAACCCTTGCCTTTTCCTGAAGTGCTTAATCTGTTTACATTGAATGTGACTTACTGATACAATTTGATTTCAGTTTACCACTTGGTATTTTTCTGTTGACCTCATTGTTTGAGATGTTCATTTTCTTTATCTTCTGACCTTCTTCGATATTATTCGTATATTTTTAAAACTTCCTCTGTCAGCCTCTAGCTGTGATCACTGTGTGGTGTATAATAATGTATTTGATGTGTTTCAGTCAATCCTGAATGTGCATCACACATTTACTACCCCCATCTCCTGTGCTGTTCTTACCATGGACACACACCTACATATGTTATAAACCCAACAATTTACTCTCAGCTTTTTGTAATTCATCATTTGTTAAATAGTTAGCAGGTGAGAAATGCCTTTGTTTCCTACACACTTACCAGTTTCTGCACTTTTCTTGGCTTTGTGTGAATCTGAATTCTATCCCTTATTGTTTAGTTTTATTGTTGAAGAACTTTAACACTTCTTACATCATAGGTCTCTAAAAGGATTTTTCTCTGGCTGTGGAATTCGAGCTTGAGAAACTTTTCTTTGAGCATTTTAAACATGCCATTGCTTTATCTTCCAGCTTACATTGTTTCTGATGAGAAGTCAGAAATCATTCTGTTTGTTGTACTTCTGTATTTAATTACCTTTATTTCCCCCTATGGATGCTGTTAAACACACACATAACTGATTTTTCACAATTGGTGATGAAGTACAGGTTTTCCTATGTCCTGTCTGAGATACATTGAGTTTCCTCAGTCAGCAAGCTTATATTTTTTCATTAAGTTTGGAAAATTTCCACCAGTATTTTTTCAAATATTTTAGTTTCCTGATCTGTTTCCTCTGCTGTGGAGACGCTAGCTGTGTGCGTTTTAGGTGTTTGATCATGCTTACAGATCAGCTGAAGCTCTGCCCTTATTTCCACCTTGCCTCCTGCCTGTGCTTCAGTTGCCCCGTCCTCAACTCTATGCATCTTTTCTTCTGCAGTGTCTAATTTGCTGTTACCAAAATCCATATCAGCTCTTACATTTTCCATCCACGAAAGTTTCACATGGTTTCTTTTTTATTTCTCTCCTCCCTGTGTTCATGTTCTCATTTAAATAAATCATAAGCAGATTTATAATGTTTTCAGGTCATTGTCTCCTAATTTCATCATCCCTGACATGTCTGTTTATCTTGAATATTTTCCTCTTCATTATTGGTCACGCTTTTCTGTTTCACCTGAAAGATAGTGCTGCATTTTGTAGATGTTACATTGTTGACTTGCTGATTTTTTTTTTTTTTTTTTGCTTTCCTTTGATAAATGTTGAATTTCTTCTGGAAGACAAAGGATGTACTTAAGATCAACATGGTGCTTCAAAGGCTTATTGAAAGAGGTGTTAGGATAGACTCAGCATATTTCTTCTTCTTTTTCTTATGTATTTGAAAGGCAGATTTAGAGATGGAGATCTTCCAACAGTTGGTCCACTCCTCAGATAGTCACAACAATTCGGGCAGGGCCAGGGGAAAGCCTGGAACCTGGAGCTTCTGCCGGGTCTCCCACATAGGTGCAAGAAGCAACATACTTGAGCCATCTTTCACTTCTTTTCCCAGGAGCATTAGTGGCAAGCTGTATTGCAAGTGGAATGACTGGGATTTGAACCAGCATCCATATGGGTGTTGGCATCACAGATGGCAATTTTTACCCTCTGTGTCACAATGACCCTAGAATGGTTCTTAATCTTGGGTTAGAGTAGCTTTTGTAATTATGGACTTCCTGGATCTCAGCTGAATGCTGAAAGTATTCAGCAAGCTCTCCCCTGCAGCAGGTGAGGACTTGGCCATCTCCAAGTCTGTCTCGTGTGACCTCAGTTTTCCTTCACCTGAAAGCTCCAGGAGCTGTCTACCCTGGAGCTTCTCAGTGGCTCCATCTGCACAGCTGCAGTTGGCTATTCGACCAGGGACTTCAACTCCACAGCTTCCTGCCTTGTTTTGGCACAGTTCTCCCCTCTTTGTCCTTCTTTCCAGGAAATGTCAGCCAGTGGCTGACTCCTTGCTTCAGCAAGGTGTGTGCCCTTTGTGGTACCCTGTCTCTGCCCTGGTATAGAAGGTCTCCCCACATCCAATGCTGCACTGGCCATGGTGCTTGCATTGTCTTTTCTCATGAACCAGAGCTCTACATTGCCTTTTAAAACATACTTATTTGAAAGGCAGAGTTAGAGAGGAAAAGAGTTCCACCATCCACTGGTTCACTCCGCTTGCCTCTTCTCCCCTGCCTTCTCTCCCTTTCCTTCTTCTCCCCTTGCCTCTGCTCCTCTCTATTCTCCTCCTCTTCCTACTCTCCCTTCCCTTTCATCTCCCCTTCCCATCCCTGTCCTCTCTTCCCCTCTCAGTCTCTCTCCTCCTGCCCCTGCCCCTGCCCCCTGTGTTTAGTGCAAACAGATGTCTAGGTTTGGGGGTTTGCCATCCCTGGGGCAGAGTGCTGTCCACAGAGGCCACATGAGTGTCAGCCCCTGGCATTTAAGACTTCAGCCTCTGAGGACCAAGCGAGGTGGGGCCCTGTGTGTAGTGACATGAGCTCCCCAGACCATAAGGGTCTGTGGTGGCACGCACTTTTGTGAAAGCTTCAGGCATCAGTTGACTGACCCAGAGCAATGCCTTTCACTCGTCGCCACATGATACCGACACGCTGCTGCCTGTAGCATCCAGAGGCACAATCAGGACCATTCCACCTCCCCCTGACCTACCAGTCCACCTCAGAGTGGGCTGCTTACCCACTCTCTGTCTTTACTTCCAAGGAAGATAGCCACCATGCAAGACTGTACACTTGAGCCTAGGTTACCTTGTTCCATGACCTTCAGCCTGGCTCACAGGCTAGGTTGCTGGGCTGCTTGGGCAATGAGTGACCTACACAGGGGATTGGAGGGAGTGATGGAGAGGATGTTCAGTGGTCTGCAGGGAGCTGAATGGGGACTGGCAGGCACGTGTCCCTCCAGGAGAACCAGAGAAGGTTTTAGATTCTTGGGCTCTGAGTGGGCATAACCACTAAGCAGCAGCGAGTGGGTGGGCATAGATACTGCAGCCCTTGAACATGGGGGCTGGTGGCTGGCCCTGGGAACCTCTGGGACTGAGAGCTGCTCACCTACCCTCCAGGTACTGCTCCCGGGTGGGAGCCTCCCGATGATCCAGACACGGGCTCGGAGTGTTCACACCCAGAGGTGTCCCCATCTCCTCGTTTTGTGGCCACCAAGACCCCGACGAGCCAGTCAGGAAAAAAGGCTCCAGCCTCCGTGGTGCGTTGTGCCTCCCTCCTACACCGCACCCCTCCAGCCACCCAGACCCAGACATTCCGCACTCCAAACTCGGGATCTCCAGCGAGCAAGGCGACTGCAGGTACCTATGGCCTCTATGTCCCTCCACGCTTCATCTACTCGCTGCCTCCTCTACCTGCCACCGCCACCCCCAGGGTCAGCAGAGGCCACGTGCCCCTGGGGCCCAAGCCAAGTCCCATTGCTTTCCCTGGCTGGCTCTATAACCACAACAAGCAGCTAACCCTTCTGAGCCTGGGTTCTTTTACCCCAGATCAGGGTTTTATGGTGATTGGCAAATAGGTGGGGTGTTGTATTTTGTTTTGTTTTTATAAGCAGTAATTTTTGCCCCAAACCTTGGCCAAAAGAACCTGTTTTATTTGACCTTCACAATGTATAAAAAGAATTAATTGCCATCATTTGAGTGTTTGGTGGTTTTATGTAAAATTTGGATTTCTTTGGTCCCACTTCCCTAGGAGAGAGTAGCCAGCTCTCTCAGTCCTTATCACTCCCTTTTGCAGCTCCAACATGGTGGGCACGTGGCAGGTGTCATCTCTCATTGCGATCCTACTATTATCTGTCTCCATCCAGCCCGGTTCATCTGCTTCTGTCACCTACCCAGACCTCCTTAGCATGAGTGGCATCTCCCACCTTTCAGAAAAGCTCAAGCTGAAAAGCTCATTTGCATGAGGAACTGACTCTCCTGGCCTCACCATGTGATGTGTCCATCACATGGGCCAACAGAAAACTGGTTTATGCTGGCTCCAGCCACCTTCCAGGCCATGCAGAAGGCAACTCTGATGCAGAAGGGTGAATAGGCCACTTGAACAGTTCACAACAGCAAATCTGACCACCAGCCATCAGCCACACTCGGCTTCATGCTTGAGTGAAAGAAGCTCTGGCTCTGTGGTTGACCCAGTGGGATGCAGGCTGCAGGGAGGTGTTGCTTCTGCCACCCTGGGGATTCCCTATGCCCTCAGGTGGCCAGAATCAGGTTGAGAACTCAGGCAAACGACCCGCTTGACCTAGCCAAGTGATTACTGTACTCTTTCCTTCTGGAGGCCAATTTGCTCAAGGCTGGGCTTTTGACAAGGAGCAGGGAGGTTCCCCAAAGGGAAAACAGTCTGTCAGCGTTGAAGTTATATGGCTTTTCAGACACCACCTTGTAACAGCTGTTTTTGCAACAGTAGTCAGAATTACTTCAAGACAGACTGGTCATCATGGTCTCCCTGGGAGTAGAGATTGGCTCAGCTGAATCGTCGGATCACAGCTCTCACATCTTGTTCTTGCTCCTGACTGGTGTGCTGGCACATTTCCTGCCTGCTGTTTCTACCGAGAACAGCCTACAGGGGCTGCTGTGCTCTGCAGCCTGCCTGCAGCTGCCAGGATGTGCCTTGGAAGCCTCCCAGCTGGGCAGGTACCGGGGTCCCCAGGCCAGGAGCAGGAGCCTGTGGGGGCTGTGAGATGCTGCACATTGGAGGTAGAAGGTGTCCCCTGCCCTGCTCGTCCTGGGAGAAGCAGCTTTTCCTGTGTGAGTGCATGTTCTGGCTTGGGAGACCTTGCACACTGGTTTGCAGCCAGAGGTGCTGGGGTCCGGGAGACTTGTGCACAGTTGGTGTGTCCGACTCAATAGTAGGCAACTATTGCTGACTGTAATAGCAACTGGCCTCAGCAGTGCTAAGTTCTGTGCACCTGATGGATAGTGCAGAAAGCCTCTATAGATGGATATCCATTGCCCTATATGGCCAAGGTCTCTGCCCTAGCCCTTCAGCCAAAGGAAACCTGGGCCCCAAGAATGGAGGCATAATCTACTCTCTTCATGAGTTAGAAGCACAGGTAGCCCCAGGCACTTGATGGTTTCTTTGCTCTGTTTTTCTACCTGCCACGTGGAAACGACAGCATAGTCACCATTGGGTGCTGGGAAGATGAAAGGGGACCCAAGATACAAAGTATAACAGCCCCCTCCACTTTCCTGAGAAAACAGAATTCAGGAGCCACCTGCAGGTGCCCTCGAGGCTTGGCCTGGGCATCTCAGAGGCAAGAATGAGTGACAGGCCTTCCCTGTGCAGGAAGGAGGCCATGCCAGGGCATGGGGACAGTGGCGGAAGGTGAGGGCAGGGAACTAAGCAGGGCTTGTAAGGGCCACCTCTGGCTTGCTTTTGCCTCTGTTGTCCCCATGAGCATCTGGAACCACAGCCTAAGCATTCACCCTTTCCCCTGTAGAGTGGAGCTGGGATAAAAATGGTATTTGTCAAAGTGGGTTCCCAGGATTCTTTATGTGTGTGTGTGTTTGTATAAACCCCCGCTGAACTTAAGAAGGCTAGGTTAAGTAAAGCAGATGGATCTATTGGTCAAACTTCTCTGAGCCTATAACATCCGCTCACAAGCTCTGTCTCCTTAAGAAAGGAACTGAGTCCCTTGCACATCCCAGGTGGACCTGTCCCCTGAAGCCTTCATCCCCTGAGTCGTGTGACAGGAACACCTTGAAGAAGCTGGGTGATTGTCCAGCTCCATTGCTGTGCAGGAACTCCTCACTGGGGAGGTGTAGCCGTGTCTGTGGTTTGCACCTGTTGGGACTCTGTGTGTATGGCAGGGTTCCAGAGAGCACCTGTGAGAGCAAGGACCACACAGAGATGCTTGGAAAGTCCCTGGGAGTGAGTGAGGCCCTTCCCCATGGGGAACGCTGGCCCAAACTCTGACCTCCATGGCTGTGGGGTTGCCCCAGCTCACCCCATCAAGCCTGCTGTGCCAGCGTGTCCTCTATGCTACCCAAGGGCTAGAGCTGGCATCAGCAGCCCTCCAGTTGGGTGAGCACTGCCACTGCCAGGAGACAGGCTGCAGTCACCCTCCCTGCCCCCTCCCCCCCCCGTTCCCTGTGGACCTGCAGCAACAAAATGTTAAAAACAGCGGTGAGTGACAGACTGAAGGGACTTAGTGTGGCAAATGAGGCTCCCAAGGAGCCAAAGTTGGGAGACCCAGCCCCAGCTCACTAGCTGGACCTCATCTGTGTATCCCTGGGCCTCTCACGCTGCTGTGAGGACCCTCCGGCACAGCCAGCAGTGTCTCTTGGGGCCCTGACAAGGTGCCTGCAACTCAGGTGGTCCAGCTACGTGGTTGAGGACCCAGAACCTTTCCCTGAACTGACTTCCTAGCCTTCCCCCAGCCTGGGGCCTCATGCCATGGGTCTGTCTCAAGATCCCGTGCTGACCAGTCACTGTGCTTCTCGCTTATGTTCTCTCCCTTTCTTTCCCTCCCTCCCTCTGGTCCCTCACCCAGCAGAAAGCGCTTTCAGTCGGAGAGTAGAAAGCAAAGCACAAAACCACTTTGAAGAGACCAACAGCAGCTCACAGAACTCGAGCGGTGAGTGCCGAGAGCTGAGTGTGGTGATGTCATTCCAGCTTTTTGGCAGGTGCTCTGTGGGCGGAGTCTGCTGTGCACTCAGCGGATTGCTTTGGGCGGCAGCTGGGACAGGGGAAGAGGAAGCAGGGTCGGACAGAAGAGGACGGGATGGGAAGGATGTCTCTTTATGGCTCCTCTTTGTCTCTTCCCTGTGGAAGAAGAACTTACCTCCTCTACTCAGCCTGCCCTGGTGCTTGGGCCTAAAGAGCCAGTACTGTTTCTAAGGCAAGCATCACAGCCAGTTTCTTTCCATAAGAGGCAGAAGTGTGCAGCTGAGAGAGCTGTGGGCTGAGAGCCAGAGGCCCCAAGTTTTGGCCCCACTGTGAACCCAGCACCATCCATGCCAAGGTTCACTGGCAGTCCATTGCAGCCAGTCTGTTGGCCTGAGGTTCCAGTGGTGTTTGGCGCCCTCTGATGGCTAAGGTTTGGGAATAGCTGCAAAGGACCCCTGTGCAGGTGGAGGGGGACCTGGTAGCCTGGCAGGGGATATGGGTGGTTACTGTGTCCCAGGACAACATAATAGGCCAGGCTGCATAGTAAGGGACAGGCAGAAGGGACAAGGCATCACACATTGTGATTACATTTGCTAGAGCCCCAATTCTTATTGCACAGTTGAGATTCAGCTATGCATACCTTGAGGGTTAGTCAGTGCCATGCACCCCAAGTATGAATGGTGAAGCCTGGGTTCCCCACCTGGCCTATGGGACAGGAGAGGGGAGTTGCCAGCACAGCCCCCATCTGCTTGCTCTGGCATTGGTGCCATCTCCACCCAATGCCCAGACTTGAAAGCAGCTACCAGTTCCTTGCCCTGGTGTAAGTAGTAGCTCTGTAAGGCCATTTTCTGATTAGCACTTTGGTGGCCTTGATTTTCCAGAGTTGAAGGTGTCTGGGAGGAGTGACCACAGCCCACTGGTTCTCTAAAGGGCATGGCCTCAAGGCCAGCCTCAGCTCCTCCCCCTGCCCTGCCCTCTGAGAGCTTCCTCAGCTTCTAGTCCTTCCCTGTCCTGCATAGTAAGTGTTTGTGCCCCAGCCAGGGACCTGGAGACCAGAGCAAGGCAGGGCAGGGGGTCAGTGCAGCCCGCCTGTCCAGGGCATCTGACCTGAGCTGTTATGAGCCAGCAAGACCATGAGCCACCTTTCCATGCAGCCTGCACCGCTAGCACAGGCCACTCAGGGGTCCGGCCCCAGGTGGGTGGAGGAACTTGGACCTGGACGGAGCAGAGTCCTAACTGCCAGATGTGGTCCCCGCAGCCCCTGAGTCCTTCATGGCTCTCCTGGTCATCTTTCTCTTCTCTGCCAGGCCCTGACCTAAGCACAGGGAGCACGCACCTAGATGTTAGAAGCTTGTCCGCACCCGTACTTCCCAGGCCGTGTTCCCTTCTCACTCTTGCTCCTCCCTCTGCCGCTCCCCACGCTGTGCTCTGGGTTCCTGACCTTGGTTGTGGTTCACTTGGCCATGGCAATCACTAAGCCTTGATCACTGGCCGCAGAGAATACTTGTCCATTCGTGAAGTGCTGCCCAGGCCCCTCCCAAGCATCCAGCATGGTGCATGGCATGCAGTAAAGATCCACTTCAACTGAGTCAGTCTTCATCTAGGTATCTCCTATTCCATATCACTCCCCATTCCCCTGGTATCTCCCTTACTGGCCAAGGGACAGCAGAGACAGACATGCCAGGTCCAGAGACCTGAATCCAGAGACCTGGTGTGCATTTCCGTGTCTGCTTCCAAAGCTACCCGTAGCCCAGGAGCTGGGCATCTGGGTTGGCTCTGGCCTCACCTGGCTGCCTCGTTTCTCCCTGCAGAGCCCTACACATGTGGCGCTTGTGGGATCCAGTTCCAGTTCTACAACAACCTGTTGGAGCACATGCAGTCCCACGCAGGTAAGGCCTGCCACCGCCCCAGCTGCTCATCACACAGCAAGTGTTTCTGCATGGCCTCTAGAGACCCATACACAGCGTGGGTGAAGTGTACAGGGGCTCTAGGGTGAAGCCTAAAGGCTGGATAGCAGCTGACCAGCAAGAGATGTGGAGGTGGGGACCAAGTGTGAGTGCCGAGGGACCCTGGGTGAGTGGAGTTGGGGGCAGAGGGTGGCGCAGAGAACGGATGGGAGTGAAGTGTGCAGCCTGCAGCAACCTGAGCTTGGGGCTGTCTCAGAACAGAGGTCCTTTGTGATGCCCTGGAACACCTTAGAAAGCTGAGGGCAGTCAGTAGGAGAACTTGGCGAGAGTCATTGAGGTTTGGATGGTGCAGCCTGGGTTAGGGCCTGGGGTTTGTATTTCTGGGAAGCCCTCAGGCAGGTCACCTGCTGTGGGACCCAGGACCCTCACTTTGAGGAAAACAGGCCCGGCCACCTGCTCAGCCCACATTACCACTGCCCTGCATGGAGCTTTGGCCTTGTGATGGAGGTCGCTTTACCCCCTGTTGTGCAGCCTACACACCAGCTTCTCTGACTGTAGGCTTCTCCCGGGGCAGCACCATTGTGGATCTGAGTTCTATCTCAGGGAGGCGCTGTTGACTGTCACGGGTGAATAATTCCAGATTCCCAGTGGCTTAACATGCAGCGTTCATTTCTCACACTCCAGTTGAGTACAAGCAGCCTGGGTGGTGGCTGTCCCCCAAGAATTTGGGGATCTGGCCATGGTCCATCTGTGAGTCATCCTGCCCTGGGTGTCTGGACTCCCAGCTCTCTTGGATTGGTAGGTGCAGGGTGGGACCATGGAGAAGGCAAATGTCTTTCCTACAGTGAAAGCAGTGCCACATCTCACTGCTCAACTGCCAGTGGTGGAGAATTAATCCTGTAACCGGCCAGAGACCCCAGGGAAAGTGTGCCCAGAGTGCCTGCCTGCCTGCCTGAGGAGAGCCTGACACCTGCAGATGGAAACACCAGGGAATAGTCTCCTGGAGGCACTGGAAATAGTGGCAGGCACTGCCTGACTCAGTGCTATCTGCAGCCACAGTTGTTTCTGCTGTTTTCATTAAGCATCCTTCTAAGGTTTACAAGTCTTGCCTATAATCCTCCAGCTCTGGCCCCATTGGCTGGGACTAGAATCTCTTAGATGTCATTCTGTTAGTGCCAAATGTGTTGGTTCATCTGTACCTCCCTCCCGCCTTCCTTCCCTTCTTTGCTCTGTCCGGCCATCCCTCGATCTATCCATAGCACATACTTATGGGGTACCTGCTCTGCACCAGACATGAGTACCCGTGACCTCTGGGGAGAGGGGAGCTGTCATTCGTCCCTGATAAACTCTTTAGAATCAGGACAGAGCTCTGCAGAGGCAGCTGAGGTGCTGGAGTCCCAGCTCTGCTCCAGCTGCCATACCTCTGTGCTGTCTGGCCTCAAGTGGGCACTGTCTCCAACTCCTACTAGGGCGTTAAAGCCCCGATTGCCAGCCTCCCTCCTCATGCCAAGCCTCCCAAGCCTGCTTTCTTCTGCCTCCATCCACCCTCTTTCAGCAGGGAGGGCCTGGGATGCTAGCTCAGGATAATGACCCAAGGACCTAGGGGCAGCAGTTGGCAGTCTACCTGGGGACCACTGGGTGGACATAGTGATCTCCACAGCCCGGACTCCCAGCACCTCCCTCTCCTTTTTTTTTTAAGATTTATTTATTTTTATTACAAAGTCAGATATACAAAGAGGAGGAGAGAAAGAGAGGAAGATCTTCCATCCGATGATTCACTCCCCAAGTAAGCGCAACAGCCGATCCGAAGCCAGGATCCAGGAACTTCTTCTGGGTATCCCACATGGGTGCAGGGTCCCAAAGCTTTGGGCTGTCCTCGACTGCTTTCCCAGGCCACAAGCAGGGAGCTGGATGGAAAGTGGAGCAGCCGGGATTAGAACCAGCACCCAAATGGGATCCAGGCATGTTCAAGGCGAAGACTTTAGCTGCTAGGCCACGCTGCTGGGCCCCTCCCTCTCCTTTTTACACACACACATGCCCCCTCCGGGTTTTGGGAGCCATGTCATAATCAGGAAAGAGTCCAGGTGCCCCAGCTTTCCCATTCCGGGGCATTGGACTGGCACAGGCTGTAATAAGAAAATCAAGGCTGTGTCTAGTGGTAGCCCCGCCTCTTCCCAGCAGCTGGACTTGATCTCCACCAGGAGCTGCTGCTGACTGCTTTGTTCTGGTCCAGCGCTGCCGGAGAATGGCTGAGCGGCAGTGTGGTATAAGCCAGGCTGAATCCCAGCCCAGCTGAATCAGGATTAAGGGATCGGCTCCTCTGAGAGAACTGAAGCATCGTGAGCTGCGCAGTTCATGGCGCGCTGATAAGGGGAATCAGCCGGAGTAACACCAATCTCATTAGGAGACTGCTGAATGACATGGGGTAATTCGCTCTAATCAACTTCCTTTCTGTGCTGGAGGACAACCTGCGTGGGTCTGGTGACGGCTTAGGAGCATGCCCTCTGGTCGTAAATAGGAGAGGTAGTGAGCGTGTGGGTGGGGGCGGGAGGATGGCTGTGGGGCTTAGGACATTTTGTAGCTTATGTCTGCAGACTCTTGGGCCACAAGCCTATTAGCTACTTGACATTTTCATCCCCACTTTGTGGGTGAACAAATTGAGGCCACAAAACCTAATCACTGGCCCAAATAGGCATAGGTCAGTAGAAACCCTAACACAATTTGAACTTGAACTTCCACCTTGCTCTGTTCTCAGAACCACTCTCTTAAATGCCACTGGAGCCATGCTTACAAAATGGGAAACTGAGGCACTAAGTGGCCAAGTAGCTGGTCCAGCGGGGGCGAGGGGACTTCACAAATCACAGGTGGCACCTGCAGGAGTCACTCTTGGGATCTGGTCCCTTTGGGTAACCTCGCCTCCCTGAGCTTCTGTTTTCTCCCCCATGAAATGCACTGGTCCGTGCTCTCCCTGGGCCAATCAGTCTTATGCTCAGTGGCTCCAGCAGGTGCCACCTCTGTCATCTCCTGCCAGAAACAAAAGCTGAATATCCATTTGCTGAAAGACTTGCAACCAGACGTGTTTCAGATTCCAGCCTCTGGGCTGCCGGCATATCCCAAATGAGGCCTCTTGGAATTGAGGCCCAAATCTACACCCAGCATTTAGCTAGGTTTTCTGTGCACTTTAGACACCCAGCCTAAAGGTAGCTTTCTGGACATGACTGTTATTTGCGCACAGTTCCTGGAATCAGTTGTATGATTATCAACTTGCCATATCATGTCAGTGCTCAAATGATTGGAGATTTGAGAGCATTTTTGGATTTCAGGTTAGTCGTACTCAAGCTCTAGGCGCTTTTTCCTCTCTGGAAGGTTCTCTGTCTCAGAGCTTTCATGACTGCCTGGAGGAGGGGCAGACGCTTCAGGATGGCCATGCAGCGTCAGCCCAGTTCTCAGCTGCAGCTGTGACTTGGGCATTGCACAGAACTTTCACTGAATGCCTCGCATCAGGAGCAGTGTCCGAGATTGAGAGGGGAAAAGTATTTTAGCAAATGTGAGAGACGAGTATCACTCAGCTGAGTAATCTCAGTTCTACATCCTGTAGCAGAACAGGGAATAAGAGAATAACCCTACAACCTATGCAATTCCCACCATTTTGGATGCAGGAAGGAAAGCTGAGACCCAAAGAGTTTAAAAGCAGCAAAGCAGCTCAGTGCTTGGTTGAGTTGGACCTGGGTCTTTGTGTTCCAGCAGGAAAAATCGACTGGAAAAGCCACATTGTCTGCTCTTCTTGTTTACTCATTCCCTCTTTGAAAAGAGGAGATCTGTCCATCCAAAGAAATGCATACTCTGCCTTGGGAAACAGCACAGAAATTATAAAACTAAGAAGCCGTCATCTCACCAAGTAAACCCCCACTGCCAGTTTAATGTGTCTCCTTATGATCTATGATAAAATCAGGCTTATTAAGTTACCAGTTTTAAGATTCCTGTATTATTTCATTAAATACATTTTTAAGCCCAGCTTCTCTTTCTGTGCCTTCTGGAACTCTGTAACACTTATATTTGGCCTTTTAATAGTGTTCCTTAACTCTTAAAGGAGTTAACTCTTAACTCCTTAACTTAGTTTGACTCAGTTCCTCTTCCAGCTTTTTGGTTGTTTCCCCATTGTGGCAAGAAATATCTTCCAATTCTGAGATTCTTTCTTTTGCCTCATTCATTCATTTATAAGACTTTCCAATGAATCTTTAACTTGCTATATTGTGTCCTTCATTTCTAATAATCCTGCTTGATTTTGTTTCAGTGTTACTATTTCTTGTGTGACATCCTCCTTAAATTCCTGTATGTGCTTTTTGTTGATAAGAAGCTTTATAACAAAATTTTTAAGTTCTTTATCCCCCATTTCCTCAATGTATTCAGTTAACACTGAGGTTGGCAAAGGCTTTTGCTCCTTTGCTGGCGCTCTTCATTAATATTCATTGTGCCTCTGACTCTTCTTTTGCTGTTGGTCATTGTACTTCTGGTTAGAAGATTCTTCTCCTTAGGGCAGGTTTCTGAGCTCTGTCACCCACAGGTCTACATTTTGATTTTGGTACCCGATTCTTTGTTTGCAGTCACTTGTGCTACTCCCTCCAGCAAGTTTCAGGTCTGGATTCTTATGTTAGGCTTCCACAATGGTCTCCGTAGCCCCCACTCGTAACTCACCACTCTCTACCTCCTGTGATCCGTGCTGTGGGTGCACCATTGTCTGTACAGCCTTTCTTTCACTTTCAATTCGAGCAGTTCCCAGGATTAGGGAGACACCAGATGACCTAATAACTGGGTTGTTGGTGGCATTGGTCTTGCCGGAACCTGCTGGCCGTTAAGTCTGAGGGCCACCCAGACCTATTTTGACCTGCAAGGTACCAAAGTCGGTGTTATTATCCCTGTGAAACCAGTGCAATGCACTGAGCTGGAAACAGAATACAGGAGGGGCACAGAACTAACAATAG